TACACTCCTTCGTTTGTCGACTACCTTTCGTCTCATTTGTTCTCTCTCTCTTCTCTCTCTCTCTCTCTCTCTCTCTCTCTCTTTCATCGTGTGTCTCTTATATTCTTTTTCGTTCTGACCAAGCTGCGCCGCGTTCGTCCCGTGTGCGCGATCCCGACTAACCGTGGCCCTTCTTCTTCCTGTTCGTAGGATTCATGCAGCCCTCCGAGAACCGGATACTGGATATCCTGAGGAACTACCAAAGCGAGGCCAAACACGATAACGGAGTACTAGTCTTCCGGCAACCAAATAAACTGGCGGAGTACCATTGTCCCAGGTGCAACGCCGGCTACACTTACAAGAAGACGCTGATGACCCACATGAAGTATGATTGCGGGAAGGAGCCGAGGTTCAAATGCCCTTACTGCAACAAGAGGGACAAGTGCTCGTCGAATATTTACAAGCACATCAGAGTGCGACACGATGGAAAGCCGGTTTATGTGGATAGATTGCAATCGACTCGTCCCGCCACTTCCTTCCGTAACTCGTCGTCCGCCATCGGACGGTCGTCTTAATTTGTGCGAATTTAATTAAAATTTATGTTTTTGCTCATGATGTGAATGGCTTGAAAAAAACGAAGGAAGAGAAATGTAAATTTGTACCTACTTGTTAATATTTTGCATTGAACTTATTGTTTTACAGTGCAATATAATAATTTTTATTTCTATATTTCTATTTCTGAAAATTTTTCTTTGTGAGATTCTCTCAGAGAATTATTTATTTATTGTTTATTTTTGAGGTTGAAATTCATAATCGATTAGTGAATTTTGTAGTTTCTTTAGATCTGAATGGAAAAATAACGTTTTATCACTGTAAGATGTATGATTAATATATTGGAAGTTGGATCTTTTTATATTTTTATTTAATACGACGAAAATATCGAATCAAAATTATGATTTACGAATAAAAAGTACAATTATATAAAAATTATTTTTTTACGCTTATTTTTTTTTTTTGATAAATTCGATTTCGTTAATTCAGTTTCAACTCGAACAAAAGTAACATAGAGAAGGGAAATTTTTTTTTTTTTTAATTTATTTGCGCGCAAGATGAATCTATAATGTTTATTTTATTTGAAACGTTGACAAATTTGCAAGAAAGATAAACGCATATAAAAATATATTTCGATCTTCTTCTTAATTGTGTGTTTTTACCATATTAGAACGACGAAGTTCTATGAGAGGAATTCAAGAGCGTATTTTCCAAATGGCTTAAATTTACTTTTAAATACGTTCTTCTTTTTGAACGATGCATATGTTCAAAAATATATCTTTGCCGGCAACTGAAAAAAAGGACGGACAATTCCTTTGGAAAAAAGCTCTTTGATTTCATTGCAAGGTGTGCCATTTGTGAATCTATGTATAAAATCGACAATCCGATCTGATCAACAATTGCCGAAAGTGTATTCGAGCAATATTTTTACCTCAATAAAACAGGGGAAGAATTCAACGTGAAAACTAACTGCGACGATGTCTAGAAAAAAAAGAAAAAAAACACACGTCTGCACTTTCATCAAGTAGTTAATGCTGCATGAACACTATAATGTCATAATTGTGAAATCAATTTTTTGTAATCTGTATTTTTACGTAATCCTCCGAAAGTGTCTCGCACAATCTACGATCTGCTTTCTGTAAAATCAGGACAATTGTGCTACAAAGACTCTTATTTTATATGGTCCCAATTTGTGCGGATTCTCTTGGATTCGTAGTTTTCACGTGTAACGTCGAGAACCTTTGTACATATAGCGAATAAAATTTGTATTTATAGCACGTTTTTTTTTTCGTTATTGCAAGATAACACAGAATGGAAATAAAGACGATTGCGTTTTCACCACCCTTTCAGGTTGCACTCACACACGGATGTTGCGCAGTTGTAATGTTCGATGTATCGGAATTTTTGTTATTTTTTAGTAGAAATGCAAGGCAAGATTCATTGGGAGCGCACTGAGCGATTTCGATTGCAACACTCGTGCAGCGAATTAACACGCACGCAATAAGCACAATACGATCTTTTGCAAATGCGACGTTAAACAATCGGAATCGTATCGCTTAGCTGCGCTTACGATGCCACGCAGTCTCGGGAAGGGCTCGGAGGAGATCGTCCCTTGGCTATTAATGTTCCGTTTGCTTTCAGATGCGCAGCCGCAGGAGTGGCACACCGCGACGGTGACCGGATTTATCTGCCCGAAATGCAACGCGGGTTTTCGACGGATGTGGGATCTGATTAGGCACAAGTGCGGCCAGACTCTGCGATACGCGTGCCCCTATTGCCACAAAAAGGACAATTCGTCCTCGAATGTGTACAGGCACATCAGACGGTGGCACGTGAATCAGCCGATCAGGGTGAACAAGATGTTCTGAATGTGTCATCTTTCACGCGACTGAAAATACATTCCTGCGGATTCCGTCTCTCCTCGTCTCGTCTCGTAGGTCTATGTGTTCTTGCAGATTCATGTATTGAGAATAAATTCAGAATCGCCGCAATATCGAAGCATAATTTCCTACGCAACGATCCCACTCCTGCGAAATGTATCTAGATCCTGAGAGATTCTTCGATTTCTTCCGATGTTTCGTTCAATAATCAAAGTTTCTAATTGTTTTACAGTTGTCGAAAATTTTTATCTTATACTTTCCACAACGTTGGTGGTTTTTTTTCGCTCTGAATTATTGATATATTTAAGAATCCTTACGGGATGTTACACACTATTTGTCGATCGCTTTTACTGTTGTTAATCTTTATCTTCTCAATTCTTCGAAGACACGGATGCATCTGCGATCTCAAGCGTGAACGAAAGCTCAAAGAGCGAAAAACCGCGCAATGTTATCGCCTTGCTAACTTTGCTCTTCGAATTTTTCAGGTGTCCGGCAGAGTGCCGCTAGGAAGCGGAGAAGCGTGTACTCCGTAAACAAGAGTTACTACTGCCCGCGCTGCAACCACGGCTTCACTCTCAAGAAGAACATGACGCGGCACCTGCGCCACGAGTGCGGCATGGCGCCCAAGTACCAATGCCCGTACTGCGAGAAGCCCTCCAAGTTCACGCAGAACATTTACGCGCACATCCGAAAGTACCACCCCGGTCAAGCCTTGTGTTTCAAGCGATTGTATTGAGCGGTTCAAAGAATGCGGGCGTCGCCGCCCGATCGTCCCATTCTTCTTCCCGTTTGTTTTGTCTCGCATTGTTCTCGCATCCTCCGTTAATGTGTTCGGAAAGTGCAAGTCTAGTCCTTGTGTGAAGGAAACTCAATAAAGGGCCTTGATTCGAGTTTACTGTAAAGTGTTCTTAATCCCACGAGTCCACGAATGCTTCTCTTCGACGACGGGTCAGGTGTCGAGGCAGCGGTCTGCAAAATTCTCGGATCGATAAAGCGACCGCGGCTCTCCGCTCGCTCCGAACTCGTTTATTCTCTGCTAATTGTGACGGTCGTCTTGATTTCAGGTGCCGGCCACGCTCTCCGCAAGCGCAGGAGTTTCATCTGCGGGTGCTGCGACCGGCGGTACATCAACAAGAAGGATCTGAATAAGCACGTGACGTACAGCTGCGGCAAATCACCGCGCTTCAAGTGCCCTTATTGCAGCAAACGTGCCAAGTATCGCGCAAACATTTATGCTCACATACGCGTATATCATCCCACGATGCGCGTGATGACGGTGGATCTCGAGCCGTCGACCATCTGCGTCAAATGAACAAACGCTTTTGCGGAGAAATCGCGGCTTCTTCAATCTCGATTTGACGGATCAAACATTTTTATCAGGGATGCCGATTAAATTTTACTGCCATCCAGTTTGTCAATTTCTGCAATAAACGAGATGTAAAACGGACCAAGTGGAGACGGCGACGGCGCTTAGTTCGTTCGAAATATCTGTGTGCCTACAATTGTATAGCAAGATTCGATATGTGTGCGAACATAACTCGAAGCTTGTTCGCCTGTAGATTTAATCAGGGCGTCATGTTACGCATCTGTGATGTTTTTTTAGTTATTTTTCTACAATCTCGGAAGATATAACAGAATTGAATAAAACATTCCCCACACATTCCTCAACTTTATTGAACTTCCTCGTTTAACGATCAACAGACCCAGCTTCTTTTCCGCGCAGTGTTCGGGAATTCATGTATATATATATATATATATATGTTTCTACGCTCTTCACCTCGCCCGTTATCTTTCAGGGTGAGAATCGGCGATGGTGCGGGATCGTTACGAAAGCGGGTAACGCGGCGCACGAAAAGAGAGAACGTGTGTTCGCTTGAAAGATTGTCGCTCTTAAGTGTTACCGCGTTCAGTCTTCCCCGCGGCGAATCACCACACTCGACTGACAAATCGACCTGTGCTTTTGCAGCTCTCTACAGTCGCACCTGCTACGTGCCGTCGGCCACCAGTTGTCGGCGACGATACTGCGGCAGGCCGCTCACCACGACGCGCGGCAACTTCGAGTGTCCCAAGTGTCGCAAGACCTACAAGTGGTACCGCGGGCTGCACAGGCACCTCGAGTACGAGTGCGGCAAGTCGCCACGCTTCCAGTGCCCGCACTGCCCCTACGCCGGCAAGCACCGCTCGCACGTCTACTCGCACATCAAGACCAACCATCAGAATCGGCCGATATACGCCGTCGACATGCAGCAGGGTTAGATCTCGCGATCGCGAGCGAGCAAGTTACCATTCTTTTTTTTTTTCGTATTTCTTTCGTGATAGAACACCGGATTGTTCGATCGGCATTCGATACGAAATATGAACGAGAGACGAGTTAGAATTTGACAAGAGCGCGTGTGCGAATTTTATAGCGACGTTCTGCTGAGATTGTTAGGCCAGCGTAAATGAGAATTTCTATTATCTAATGCAACTGTCGCCGGATGCGCCGTTAAAGATGCTTTGATGACTTTAGAATTCTTCGGTCAGTTAACCAATGTCTGTGATCTCTGCTCATTTGCGAGCGAAACGAGTAGTAATGATTATTTTTTCGATCAACGAGATGTTGTAGGTAATAATCTTATTTTCGTTGTTGATTTTATTGTCTATTATATCACTGTTCGATTGTTAGGAAATAACCAGTTTAATGGCAAGATTACTTCTAATTTTTATTTTATGTATGCATAATTATTCGCAATATTATTTATCGCGCTTTCGATTTATGTAATAATTTGTATAATTTCTCCATTTGTACAGTAATTTATTTATCAATGTGGCATCTATTTGGTACAATCTTTTTTAATGCTTATCGTAAGTTGGACGAAGCCTCTAAGCTTGTAACTATCTTTCAAGATATCGAAACTACATTGTAACTCTACGCAACTTATTGATAATAAATACGGTCATTTAATACCTTAAAGTCGACGGATTGTATATAATTCTGGATCACGCGTCGTTCAACACAATTCAGGTTTCTCATCAGCAACATTATCTATAAAAGAATAATAGAAATGTATGTATCTCTAGAAATGTAACTCTATCCCTGTCACGTCCCAAATGTTTCCTCCATCTTCTAACTTCTCTCTTTATGTTCTTATCTGTGCCTTTATCTGTCGTGTTGTGTAACTATATATATCGTGTTTAGCAACGATTGTCGCGGCAATTCCGCAGCTGTTACTTTTCCGATGGCGTAGATCCCTTGATCGATTGCTTCCGATAACGCAGCACGAGAGATCTCCAGAGGTACTCGAGTGTAAGCGAGAAGTGTCGCGAGTGCCGTCACCGAGCGGTGATCGGCGAAATTCTCTCGGAGGGGTCGAGACGAGTGCGAGCGATACTCGTCGCGTATGGATGCGTTCGTCGACTAATCGGCGCGAAATCTCTTTCCAGATCCGTTCCTGAAGTGGTTTCTACAGAGCGCCCGCTGCAGCCAGAAGACCGCGTTTTATCGCCATCCCTGCCCGAACTGCCATCGCAGTTATAAGCACCGCAGTCACATGATGCGACATTACAGATACGAGTGCGGCATACTGCAGCGATTCGAATGCCCGTATTGCAAGCACCACCTGCGGCAGCGCACGCACGTCTGGACGCACATACGCACGTTCCACCCGAATAGCGAGCTTTATTGCATCGACGTCGCCACTAACGCGAAGCTCTCCTGGCAGGAATATCGAAATGACTAAGATTATATCGCCAATCTAATTCCTTTGGTCATTTCGAGTGAATCAGAAGAACCGTTACACTTCATTAAATCCATGGATTATTTGAAATTCATTAATACGAAGCGGATAATTTGATGTTTTTTTTTTTAAAGAAAAGTTTATCTTTAAAGACAATATTTATGTATATAATTTTTATTTTTGATACTTTTAAACTTATCTGTTTGACTTTTCATGGGCAAGATGCAAATGCGAAGAATTTTGCATTTCTTGTATCTTTGAATACAATTTTTGCAATGTTATAGATTAAAAATTGATAAATATATGTACACAAATCAAGACTGTCGACAGTCTCAAATGTCAGTAATTATGTTTATTTCGCAATATTCTTTTTAAAATGAGCTAATTATTTATTAAGTTTTCTTTTAAAAATCCCAGTAATAAGAAATAATGATTCCTCGGCAAATTTGAGACTTAAAAAATGAACGACGTCATATAGTTTGAATCTCTCAATCATTTTTTACGACTACTATAAAAATAACATCCTATATTAATATCTATTGTTACGAAAATTCTTCCTGTTATTGCGATCGCGGTAGATTTATTTTTATAACAATCTTTTTGAATCGTTTCTAATGTTCTAGATCGCAAAACATGAATTCGTTACTATTGTGTTATCAATAAATATATAAAGAAGCCCGTAGCTAATTGGAAACCTTACTGATATTTCCCATCTTCGATCTTAGACATTTAATATATTTCAGAATCTTCGAATTATTTAAACTGATTCTATTATGCACTGATAATTTTATTAACGACATATCTGTTAGAATGCATAGAAAAATATATATAATAAAGTGTTTATCGATCTTGCGATTCTGTGTCGTGCTAATAAAGACAGCTACTGTTTGATTGAGACCTTCTCTTTTTCGTTTGTTTCTGTGGTCGTGTCTTCTTTGTCGTTTACGATGACGAAATCGACATTTACTCGACACATTTGGTTACAGCACTGTTTAACAAATGTTCCTGCACTTTCATTGTTTCTTGGTATGTAAGCGAGTATTGGCGATGGAAACCGTTTTGTAAAAAAGAAAAAAAAAGAAAGAAACATCCCTCACGAGAGAAACCGATAATCGACTTGTCATTACAACACCCTCGTTTATTTTTCAATTTTAGAGGATCCTCTCAAGGTGGATTTCGAGATGTACTTCAATCAAGTAAACGGCATGTACGAGTGTCCGAATTGTCCAATTATGTATAAGTGGAAGAAATTGATAATTCGACATTTGCGAAATTCTTGCAAAGGTTAATTATCCTCATTGCACGAACGCTAATTACCTGAAGACGCAAATCGTTCGCCACCCGCATCATCCGGAACTTTTGCCTATCAGTCGGAAGCTCAACACCGTTTATCGACAATGATTAAGAACACGTTGCAGTTGCCACGGAATTATTATATTCAATAAAGTGCTCAGCTGGGTGGCTCATTTGTATAAAATCCCATTACCGCCTTATGTGACATAATCATCAACCCCCTTCCCCCCTTTTTTTTCGTTAATATCTAGGAATACGAATGTGTGACCTGATTTTATCAAATCGTGAATCAATCGCGATGGATTTATTTTTATAATCTTTGAATCGTTTCTAGTGTTTGAAATCGTAAAACATGAATTCATTATTATTGCGTTGTCAATAAATGTATAAAGAAACTCATAGCTAATTGGAAACCTCACTGATATTTTCCGTCTTCGATCTTAGATATGTAATGTATTTCGGAATCTTTGAATGATTTAAACTGATTCTATTATGCACTGATAATTTTATATGACGTAGCTGTTTGAACGCATAGAAAAATATATAATAAAGTGTTTATCGATCTTGCGATTCTGTGTCGCGCTAATAAAGACTGCTGTTTTGATTAAGACCTTCTTTTTCTCGTTTGTTTCTATGGTCGTTTCTTCTATGTGATTTACGATGACGAAATCGACATTTACTCGACACATTTGGTTACAGCATTGTTTAACAAACGTTCCTGCACTTTCATCATTGCTCGGTATATAAGCGAGTATTGGTGATAAAAACCGTTTTGCAAAAAAAAAAAGAACATCCTTTACGAGAGAAATTGATAATCGACTTGTCATTAACGCCCTCCGTATTTATTTTTCATGAATTTCAGAGGATCCTCTCAAGGTGGATTCCGCGACGGACTTCAGTCAAGTAGACGGCATGTACGAGTGTCCGAATTGTCCGCATAAGTATAAGTGGAAGAAATCGGTGTTTTGACATTTGCGAAATTCTTGCAAAGGTTAATTATCCTCGGTGCACGATCGTCAATTACCTGAAAGACGCAAATCACTCGCCACCCGCACCCGAACATCGTCCAGAACTTATGTCAATCGGTCAGAAGCTCAACGCCGTTATCAACAATGATTAAGTATACGCTATACAGTTGCCACTGCAGCATTGATTGTTAATATTCAATAAAAGTGCTCAGCTAACTCATTTGTATAGAATCCCATTACCGCCTTATGTGACATAACCATCAATCCCCTCTCCACTTTTTCGTTTTATTTTTGTGTTATCTAGGAATGCGAATGTGTGTTGACCAGATTTTATCAGATCGTGAATCGCCGTTTTTTACAGGATACGCACATCGATAAATAACGATTGCTACTAGTAGTGGCGATTGTCGTGACGGCTGTTTCAATGTAAGATTGATCTCGTGCGACGCACGTGGCTTGTATAAATGACTTATTTACGATGCGCATAGACGAAGACGGAGATGCTGAGTACGTGCAAAGTCACGTCGCGAGGGGCATCTTCCATACTTCATTATTTGCGTAATGCGTTGCTTGCTGGGGAATCCAATGATGCAGCCTGAACCGAACGATCATCAACTTAAAAAAAAAAAAATAAATAAAAAAAACAAAATTCTCTCTTGTGCGCACTCGAACATGCTCTTCAGCATCTTCGTCTCCGTGTTGCAGGGCCTCATGTGTTACCACCGTTCGGGCCGAACATGATCTGCAAGTATCGACCGGGAACGGAGAGCAAGCACAGTCCCGAGACGTCCAGGAAGTCGAGGATACGTCCGCGTAAGGTTAGCGCCGACAACATGAAGCCGTTCCAGTGCCAAAAATGCGGGCGTGGCTTCACCCTGAAGAGGAATAAGGACCGCCATGTGAACTACGAGTGCGGACACGAGCCCAGGTTTCAATGTCCCTACTGTGGACTCCGCAGCAAGCAAACCTCACCGGTTTACGCTCACATCAGGAAAAAGCATCCGGAAGAGGAGGTCTTCATCTTCGACATGAAGCTCTGAGCACGAAGAGTGCGCGCGTCTCTCATTCCATGCCTGATCTCAGACTATCCAAGCGAATTTCACCTCTCCAATGGACTCGCTCTCCACCACGATCTTCGTGCACCATTGTTGAAGACGAAGTGTTCCTCAATTTCGTTTGTTATCGGCACATTTTTTATTTCGAAAATAATCATTTATTTATATAATTCAGCGATCGACAAGCTGATAGAAAAAATTTATAATTTGACTTCCAATACGATTCTTATTCAAAAATTTGGAGAAAAATTTTGTAGCTTAAATTTTGTTACGAGATTTCTTTCCAAATTTTCAAGATTTCGTTGCATTGTTATCCGAAATTGGTTACTGTAATTCTAATAAAAAATATAAATTCTAAATAATAATAAAATTGAGATACAAATTTTTCTAGAACTTTGTATCTAAATTAGAGTCTGAATTCTTCTGGTCATTAAATATTCCATGTGCTAGTGTGACCAAGAAAGAGGCTCATGATCGGCTGATATCATTGATATTGAGGAACACTGTCCCGCGCCATGCTGAAGACTCAAGTGAAGATCGAAGCCAAGGATCATCGAACGAGATTCCACCTTCGGGATAGTTAATGTCGTAATTTAAGATACAGTGAAATCGTTGCTTCTACTTTGTAAGAGCCATGATTCGCATGTACACGTTGTTTTGTATAATAAAGTTTTATCGCAATTTTTATCATGTTCGCCGTTGAAATGTCAGCGTCGGGCGCGACAAAGCGGCTTGGACATTCATTCTTGTTTACGTCCCTTTTCACGTATACGACCAGCCGCGGGCAGAAACGGATCTCTCATCACCCGAAGACTGCACGACCGACGCGTTACAGCTCCGACTTTTCCAATTAGATCTCTAGTTACATAGATTCCCATAAGGAAGCAAGAAGTTCACGCGGTAGCGATTTTAGGCTCCAATTTAGTATATTTCATAAAAATCGCACCGTACGCTTCTGCGTCACCGTAGCCCGCGCGACGAACGTCGCTGAAATGCAGGTTCGTCAGGAAGATACCGCATGATTCTCAAGGTATCCCCTCCATTTATATCGCAATAATACAGCAGAGCATGAATATCAATCCGGCAAACCCTCCCGATTGCTCCCGAAGGGAGCGAAGCCCGAAAGCTTCTCAATCGACTTTCGGACTGGCTCCCTCGCACCTCTCCAAAGAACCCCGGCGAGGTGCGCCTGCACTCTGGTTAACCGGCCGATCTTGAAGTTCCAGGTTTCTACGCGGCACCACCGCAGCTGGACCTGAACCTTGTATTACAGTCCTGCAAGGTCTACGAGGCCGAGAGCGGCAGCCGGGACTTCGGCCAGGACTATCCGTCTGCGTCGAGATCGATGACGAATTACTACTCTCAGAGCCGCGTGAGGAATCCTTATCCGAAGGGCACGTTCGGCGACAACAAGCCGTTCGGCTGTCCCAAGTGCGGTCGCTGCTTCACCGTCAAGGGCAACATGACCAGGCATTACAAATACGAGTGCGGTCAGAAACCACGCTTCCAGTGTCCCTACTGCGAGTTTCGCAGCAAGCAGACGTCCAACGTGATGTCCCACGTTCGAACCAAGCACCCCGGTTGTGAAGTCAAGTATAACTGTGTCACGGAGCCGTGTTCCGCTTACGAGAAGGACGTTTCACCTTCCGCGCTTCCGTCTCACCTCCGTTAAGCAGGACAGAGGGGAAACGGAAGAAGAGAACAGAACGTTCAAACTCCATCCATAAATCGTCGTGTAAACGTTATACGTTTGTAATACCCGTGTGTTTGCAGTCGAGCTAATTGTATTGTCGGGATTTACGGCGGTGTGAACGACAAAGATCCGGAAGTGATGATTCGGTCGACGGATATCACCATTTACTACATACAGGGTCTACGATGCAACTATGAGGACACGTAAAAAAAAAAAACGCAGTCGTGCAAGGCGTGTTTCGATCTCGCGGAGCTTTCTCGGCTCGGAACGACCGAATATTCGCGACCGCCGGTAGAGTAAACTTTGATGAAATTTTAAAACTACTCCCAGTAGAGATGGGTGTCACGCGATTACGCTCGTCGCGCGATTCACTATTCCGAAGATCGTGCTCCGTGCGAATGTAAGGTGACAAAACCCGACGCGCTTTGTCCCTCGCGACTTTACACGGAGAAATCGCTCATGAACGTCCTTATAGTTGTTAAGAGTTTCACGAGCGCGGTGCGCGGTTCCTACATCACGTGGCGCTGTTAATTAGAAGTAACGTCTTACACATCGCTCACATATGCGATCATCCGAAGCGCAACAATCGCGAAGGGGCAAAGAGTGCGACGATTCGTTCGAGCTGTACGACGAAGCGCGACGTGACGACCTCGCCGGGGGGTCTGCTGCTGCAGAAACGCGAGCTGAGTTGTGCGTGAGATTCCTAGTGGCTGGAAATAGTGGGACTCAGTATTATCGTCAGATATTCTCTCTCCGTCTTTACACGTTACGAAATATCTCCACGCTTAGCAATTAATGAGCCGGCGCGCGAAGCTCTGCGATGTGCTACGCGACGATGGTATCGTTGATCGTTAAAAAAAATTGGCATACTATGGGCGCAGTATAGAAATTTCGGCAATACAGGGTTGGGCGTTTAGATGTAATTGACGCCGAAATAATGTAACCTAATGTGCATTCTAATTTGCAATCTAATGTGCAGACAGTATATTTTTCATATTTGTTTAAATTTTGTGGAATATATTTTTAAATTGTACTTTTTTAATTACGAGCTGTTGCAAAACCATTTCACTTCAGGGACATCTGTGATATTTTTGAAAAATTTCAATAGTTTATGTTATTTTATGTACAATGCGGTGTTATGTATGATGTTTATTGCGTTTTATGTTTAGGAATTTTGTGTAAATATGATAAAATATATTATTAGGATTTTAACTTTATAATGTTAAATTGTATAAAATTATTTACGGTTATATAAAAATGTTATATAAGATTATTATTTGTTGCCACGTTTAGATTAAATATTTTTATTTTGTTCAGGTCGCGTCTGTGACTGTTTAATGTAATTATTAATTTCTACAACAGTCTACATAATTAATATGGTTTAGAAAAAAATTTGTGTAAACATTATATAAAGAAGTAGTTTTGTAGATGTAATCTATGGTGCAACCCTGGCGAGAGAGAGATTCCCGAGAAACGCGCGAGAGGAAAGCGTGAGCACATTCGCGGTTCCGGCGTTCGCGCGCTGTCAGATAAGCAATCTTTCGATTATTAGGAGCTTTAAGAGAGCCGTATGTTTTTTAAATCGTAGCTATATATCTTTGAACGATTCAGGTTGTGAGGTTCGACAATGGGACACGAGGAAACATTTGCGTGCGTCTAAAATGTACCAGGATCGATCAAGTTAAATTAAGAGGCCGGAAGCGACCGGTGTGTATGCGTTAATTATTATTAGCGACGAATTGTTGATTTCCGTTGACGAAATCGGAATTGTTATAGACGAGTGACGCGCCGTGCGATTGTGAGCGCGCTCGCTCGTGAAGACTAAAATTGTTACTAACGGGAGCAGAAAGTCTGAGAGAACAGGGTTTTCAAGCGGTCGGAACAAAACGTAGCTAACTCCTGTGTTCATTAATCGATATTAGTATCACGTGTTGCCCCCCCCCTGTCTTTCGTGATTTTGTTCTTACGTGCAAACTCCTTCGATACACTCGGGATAGCGATCGATGACGTAGAATCGATTAGAAGTACGTATTCACCCGTCAGCATCGTCGAAAATAGAAAGTGTTGCTCTTTGTATTGCGGAGCCGCCGTGTTTGTCACACGTTTAGTTCCCGCGACACACGATTGACGTGCCTGCTTTCGTTCGCATCCGCGCGATGGAAGGGTCTTAGACACACACACACGTTTAGTGGCCGACTGTTTTTGTTGCTGTGATATAATTAATTGATCTAATAGCGATATATTAATATATTTGGCGTGTATATTCGCGCTCGTGCGCCGCGCACGCGTATCGGACATGCCGCGTCGCGCACAGAGACGATTGTTCTTCGTGACATTCTTTTAGGTCTTCGAGTTTAAGTTCTCTGCGTACGAGATTAAAATGTCGAGTTTGCGAGCGAGGGATCTTCGTCCGCTCGGGGTATCCGGACGATCGCGCAGAATTCCACGGGGCCGTCCACGCGACGGCCACTTTTCGCGCCGAGCCTCGTACACACGGCGAATGTCGGGATACCCCGCGGTTCCTGGCGGATTAGAAACGCAACATGTTTTCACCGTCGGTTTTTAATCGATAGCGATTTTCCGCTGTCGTACGTTTTATGATCGTATCGTGTGCAATCGCTGTGCAATTGTAAAATAAAAATAAATTGATGTTCGGACACCCTAAGCTGCCGAATGTGCTTCAGTACTTTTCCCCCCCTCTCCCGGACATTCCCAGCCCTTCGCCCTCCCCCCCACTCTGTCTTTCTCTTTCTCTTCCTTGAATTGAACCCCCCCACCGACGAATCTGTTGTAGCTGCACGGTAGACGATCTACATTTAACGTGTGTGATGTTTGTTTGCGGCCGAAACTAACGACGCCTGCGCTAAGGACGCCTCTTCCTGTCTGTCACGCGCATCCAGGAGGAGCGCGTTTCACAACTCTCTCGACTAAGTTTCCTTGTCCAATACACCCGATTATTTTTACATGCGTGCCACGAGACTAATATCACAAACAGCAATCCGCGCATCTCTCTTTAAAACCGCATCTGTATGCTTTTTTTGCATTCATGCGTCCAAAACATCTCACGCGTGCCTTGACATCTCACGCGCGATTATTCTGCAAGGGCTAATGACACAAGTGTCCTCGGGAAATTCTTCCTTACTGATCGCGGATTGGCTGTCACCTTTCCTACCCTCTGTATTGCTCTCATTCTTTTTCTCTAGAAAACGGTGAAAGATAGCTCGTTTGCCTGGCCGATGAACGATTGAACGCTTGTCGATGCGCCCGAAGTCAGAAGCTGTCTGACGGAGCTAGCCGAGCCGCGAGTCTCACAAGTCGATTTCTGCTTTCAGATCTTGACGTCATGGACTCCTTCATGAGCGTCGTAGATCCTGAGCGGAAGGTCGAGGCGAAGGTCATGCCTGTCGAGCCGGCCCGACAATCGCAGAAGATCCTCTATTATTGCCCCAAGTGCCTGCACGGCTTCACCCTGAAGAGCAATCGCAATCGTCACTTCAGATACGAGTGCGGCCACGAGCCCAGGTTCAAGTGTCCTTACTGCGATCTGCGCAGCAAACAAACGTCGCAGGTTTACTGTCACATCCGGAAGAAACATCCGTTGGAAAATGTCTGGGTCATCGATCTGAAGTCCTAACAAATCGCGCGAGCGCCACGCGTGACGCAATCAGCCTTGAGCAGTCTTAACACCGTGGACCGCGAGCAGAGCTATTGTGCATTATTTTGATCCTTTCAAGTGCAATAAATGTTTCCTTTACAATACATCCCGTCTTGAGAACTCTCATCATTCGCTGATGCGATGTAGCTGTTAGAAAGTTTCACTTTCAGGAACAGATTGCCGACGTTTCGGGCATGTCTGCTTATCAGCTTCGTTCTCAGGTACGAATATATAATGCGAGCTAAATCTCCTTGTCACACCTCAAGTCTCGTCGAGATATCAGATGTGTGCAATTCATATACCTTGTCGCATGCGTCGTACACGTTGTCATAAGATTCGATGATCTACATGCGAATGATGCGTTTCATACGGCTAAATTAAAGCTACGCAAAGAGTGATTATTCATTACACGATTATATTGTATGAAGTTCTCGGCATTATTTTTTATATTATTTTTCGAAATTTGTATCTGGATGATTTGTCGTACGAAAATATTATTTTTAATATTATATCATTCTTTTATATAATTCAGAAGTGACGGTATCTCTCGGTGTTGAAACAATTTTTCTACTTTAATTCTTTTTACATTTATCAGTCAAACGTTTTATTTTCAGATATTTGTCATTCAAAAGTAATATCGAAAAATATTATTAATATTAATATTTAATATTATATATATATACTTAATATTAATTAATATTTTTCAATATTACTTTTGAATGACAAATATCTGAAAATAAAACGTTTTACTGATAAATGTAGAAGGAATTAAGTTGGAAAAATTGTTTCAACACCGAGAGATACCGTTATTTCTGAATTATATAAAAGAATAACAATAATATAATATTAAAATTAAGAAATTGTGAGTGTCGATCATCCATTGCTTCTTTCACGCATTGGTTCTGGATGATAGTGAACCGTCATTAAAATTTGTACTGCTAATTCCAGGATATCTACGCAATTTCAGCTTACTGCTTAATTATGCGGTATCGTCACTTGAAACATCTTACAAACAAGACACACTTCGCATCAGACACATTTCGCACTTCGCTTATCATGAACGTTGCATTTACACATCCTATAATTATAAGATTTTATTTTCCTCGATCTTACGACAATTTTCGACTATCGGTCTTCTCATCTCTTCTAATTCTTCCATTGTTTGCTTTCAGGCCTTCTGTACGGCAATTATGGAAATTACGCAATCGGCCTGTACGACTCGACCAAACCCGACAGCGTTTTTATGCACGAAGATAATCGAGCCGAAGACCAATCCGCAGGGCACGTGCTCGATAGCGCGGGAGTTCCGGAGCAGATTAGAGGGGGTTACAGAGCGAGCCAGAGTATTATTCGGATTCGTCGTCGGAGGAGCGGTCGAAGGAATCACGTCTGCCCGAAATGCGGCAACGGTTACCTCGCGCTCAAGAGCCTTCGGCGTCACTTGACCTACGAGTGCGGCCTGAAGCCACGATTCAAGTGCCCTTACTGCGAAACTCGCAGCAAGCAGCGGGGCCACGTGAGCCAGCATATACGTAGGAAGCACTCTGGGCAGCGCATTTACATCATCGACGACTCGCTCTGTTGAATCCACGCTCCGGCATATTCGATCTCACGATACATTCCTTCGCGTTCCGAGGCGCTTTGTCACGTCGACTTTTGCTTCATCGCTCCTGTTCTTGTTTTCTCTCGATACGCCATTTGTCTCCCGCCAACCTCGTCGCCGACGCGGCCGACGCGGCCGACGTTCTGTACAAACTTTCGTTTTGCGACTAGTACTTTGTTAATCATGTACTTGATGAAATAAAGCATTTTCACGATATTCAGATTCTCCGTGATAGCCGATTTCCATTTCCATGTACTTCACGCCTGTGCTAAATAGCTCTCGCACCTTCGATAGCGCCCGCTGAAAGCTACTCGAATCAATTGGACGCACCTCGCCGCGGTTTGCCTGCGCGCAAGCCGAACGATGGTTAAACGAAGATCCTTGCGCGAGCTTGTGCTCCTCAGAGTCGGGTGACGGGAATAACTCGCGATAACATTCGCAAGCCTCACCATGACTTTCTCATTCTTATCTCTTCCTCCTTTGCGCTTGGCACGCGCGCATCTCAATCGTATCCAATTAATTTGACGTTCCCGTTGATTTTCTTTTTTTAGACGTGAAGATCATCAAGCTAGAGACCAGCATAGAGAATCTGTGCGCGGTGGTGATGGAGGAGTCGCATTTTGACTATGACACGAAGAAGTCGCTCGGTCCGAGGAGACGTCGAAACGGACCCGAGAGGCACACGTGCTCGCGGTGCTCCAAGAGCTACGTGCACGCGTGGCATCTAAACAGACACACGAAGTTCGAGTGCGGCCAGGAGCCGAGGGTCCAGTGTCCTTACTGCTCCGCCAAGATGAAACAACGCGGTCACGTTTACAGGCACATTCGCCAGTGTCACCGAGGCAAGAACGTTTACGTGATCGATCTTAACTGAGGACTCAGAAGTATAGCGCGGATTGTTCGTATATTGCGATTTATTTTTTTCCGTTACAATTATCGTTCGCCTATTTCTAACGCACCTCGTCGAAATTTTTTCCCTCCTTTGTCGGCGTCTCTATACATCTATTTTCGATATTCGAAGAATATATTTTTTAACTGCAGTACCGATACTGACGTATCTAGTCATTACGATTAGAATTCGGCCGCGGCATAAAGAGTTGAGTGATACAGAACGAATGAAATTGATCTGTAGTATTTTGTATTTTATCTCGTTGTTTCAAAGGATAAATAAAATATTTTTGCATTAATCGAAATAAAATTATTTCCCTCGATAAAAGTTTCTTCACCGTTGTCCATTTGGCGTGTACTTTAATCGAATATAACGAATTTATATTTTCATCATCTCTTGTCTTCTCAAAACTGTTTCTTATTCATTCAGATGCTTTCCAATACCGAAAGGCAAACAATTTCAATTTTTCTGATTGAAATATTTTAGGTCCTTTTGCACCGATAACAGCTACGTTTTAAACAGAGGTAAGAGGATCAATGGGATCGCTTAATGGCATTAAAATTTTTGATCGATAAGTATTTTGACAGTTTGCGTAATTTTGTAAGTGCGTTCATGAATTTGAAATATCTGTACTCATGTTATCACAGCACGATGAATACCGATTAAAAAATTTACAAACATTAGCAGATATAGCAAACAACACTTGAAAAGGTTGCACGATTTAACGTGCTTTCGTATATTCGTGCGTGCGAATCGATTTGTTAAAGTTATATATTAATAATTAATATAAATGAATATTTGAGTGATCTTTTATCCGATTGCTTTCTTCGAATCTAAATTTATGATTCTCTGATTTTTAGAAAATAATTAATCGGCATTCGCCGGAAGATAAGAAGCCGAAGCCGAAAGAAAGTGTTTTATTTTTCTGAAATTCTTTCTGAAAGTATTGCATTTTGTAATTTAGATGAAGTAAAAATGTTGGAATGTGTGATTTGAAATAAAGTACTTCGAAGATTCGATATTTTAGGAAGTCAAATATCACAGCTGATTTTGCAGACTAGTTTAGTGTTTATAATTTCACTAATTTGAGAAATTCCAAGAAAAAAGTATTCTATTCCAGCTATAAAAATTGTGTTGTCTATCATTTATTGTGATTTAATCGTATTATTCGCAGACATCAATTCGTCTTTCTCATCTGCCTTTAATATTGTGTATTATGTAGTGGTGGGATTTAACAACTCTTATTTCCAAATTATTAAGCGAACCAAGAATGACTGAAAATAAAAAATCTCAAAACATTTTGCAAAACTGTTCTAATTGAAAATGTTGAAAAATCTTGCGAGTTTAGAAAGTCTTGAATTTGTATGTATGTATATATGTATCTGTGTGTATGTGCGTTTGTGTATATGTGTTCTATTATTCAAAATATTTAACACATTTAAGACATTCAAGACTTTCAAGGATAGATTTTTTTTATTTTCTAACAGTCTTACAAAATATATTGAAACTTCTTGATTTTCAGTCTTTGACTCAAGATGTCCTGAGACGGTTTCCCGTCACTAGTATTATGCGTTTTATAAGCGCAGCTACTCGATCGTAATTAACGTCTTTTGTTTTCTTTTTTCTCTCGCTTTCAGGATTATTGAAACTGCGCACGAATCTGTCCAAGTCTTCAGAGCCGGAGAATACCGTCTTCCCGATAATGTTGCCGAAAAAGGAGCCAGAGGTAGCTCCGGTTGCTCCGGTTGCTCCGTTCTCGAGGATCAGGGTCGAGTATCGTTGCGATAGGTGCGGCAAAATATATAAATATCGCTACACCTTGCTGAGACACAAGCACAACGAGTGCGGCCAGGAGCCGAAGTTCCAGTGTCCTTACTGCCCCCTCAAAACAAAACAGCGTGGTCACGTTTACAGGCACATTCGCCGGTGTCATCGAGGCAAGAAAATTTGTGCGATCTTATCTGAGGATTCACGGAGAAATATAACGCAGGTTGTTTGTATATCCCGATTTATTTTTTTCTTACGATTATCGTTTGTAACGCACCTCGTTGAAAGTCTTCCCTTCCTTCCACGGCATATCGGTAGTATTTTGTATTTTGTCTCGTTGTTTCGAAGGACGAATAAAATATTTTTGTATTAATCAAAATAAAGTTATTTCCCTTGATAAAGGTTTCTTCACCGTTGTCCATTTCGCATGTACTTCAATTGAATATAACGAATTTACAGTTTTCATCATCTGTTGTCTTCTCAAAACTACTTGTTTGTTATCTATTTAGGTGCTTTCCAGTGTCGAAGGGTGAACAATTTCAATTTTTTTAATTAACACATTTTTAGATTAACACGTTGAACTTTTGCATCGATAACTGCTACATTTTAAACAGAGGTAAGAGAATCAATAGGATCGGGCTTAATGGCATTTAAATTTTTGATTGTTGAGTATTTCGTCAGTTTACGTAATTTTGTAGGTTTATGAACTTAACTGAATTATCTGTACTCATGTTATCACAGCACGATAAACACTAATTAAAAAATTTACAAACATTAACAGATATAATCACCCCCTAGTTAGAAACTGGCGATAATCTACAATTGACACGAAATTTAATAGCAAACAAAACTTGAAGAGGTTGCACGATTTAACGTACTTTCATATATTCGCGCGTGTGAAGCGATTTGTTAAAGTTATGAGTTAATAATTAATATAAATGAATATTTGAGTGATCTCTCATCCGTTTGTTTTCTTTGAATCTGAATTTATAATTCTCTGATTTTTGAAAAATAAAATATAATTTCTGAAAGTATTGCATTTTGATGTAATTTAGATGAGATAAAAATGACGGAATGTGATACGATTTGAAATGAAATACTTCGAAGATTCGATATTTCAGGAAGTTAAAAATCAAGAGCTGACTTCGCAGATTTGGTACAAGCTACAATCAAAACACTTTAGGAAATTATAGTCGAGTGTCTAGTTGTGTCTAGTTTAGTGCTTATAATTTTACTAATTAAAGAAATTACTTCTAAAAAAGACGTCCTAAAAAGACGTCTTTTTTAAATTTCTTTAATGATTGGCATTTTGAATTTTACAACAAAAAACTTTCCAAGAGAAAGTTAAAGTTGTAATCCAGCTGTTAAAATCGTGTTGCCTATCGTTCGCCGCGCATGATTTAACCGCATTATTCGCAGACTCAACACGAAACGTCTTTCTTGTCCGCCCTAAGTACGGCGCGTTTTGCGCTTCATAAGCACAGACATCGCATCTCTTTTCGCAACTAACGCCCATCGTTTTCTTCTTCCTCTCGTTTTCAGGATCGTTGAAATCGCGCTCGAATCTGTCCAAGTCGCTACAACCGGAGAACACCATCTTCCCGTCGATGTTGCCGATAAAGGACCTGGCGGTGCTTGCGCCATTCTGGACGATCAAACCGCGCGAGTTTCCGTTCCGTTGCGAGAGATGCGGCAAAGGATATCAACATCGCGGCACCTTGCTGAGACACACGCGGCATGAGTGCGGCAAGGAGCCGCAATTCAAGTGTCCGTACTGCCCGCACAAAACCAAGCAGCGCGGCAATCTTTATCAACACATCCGGACTAATCATCCCGGAAAGAGTGTCTTCTCCAGTAACATCTAGTGCATCGTATAAACATACGCGCGCAGTGTTTTGCAGTGTTTCTAATTGTTTTTGTTTTTGTTTTTTATTTGAACTTTGTTTTACGAAGATGCATTGACAAAGCATTCGTACATGGACGAGAATACGATGCAGCTACAATTGCCAAGTAGCGTAGCATATTGCGTGAGTGAATTTATGTGTTAATCTAATGAATATTTTTTATTTTGTGTGAATATTTTTAGATTTTTTCTAAAAAATTTGACTTTTGGTATTAAAATTATTAGTCTTATTGTGTATAAAGCAATTCTATGCATATAAAAGAAGTTAAAAGCAATTACGTAAATTTTATTAAATTAAATTACGTTGCTCTCAAATTTTGAAATTTATTTTCTATTAATTTTTGCGTACTTTAACATTCCTGATATTCTAATGATATTTTAGTTTTTTTACATGTTAATTACGATCGTAGTCAATAAAACACATATTTGCATATTACAATCCGATAGTAAAATGGAATGACATATTTTTTTTTTAGCATCTTATCTTTTTCTTTTGATTTTGAGTTTAAGCTCCATCGTCAATGCGAGAAATCCATCCGTATTTTTTTTTCTTAAATCTGTGATCTAAGTTATGACAAAACTTGACATTGAAATCTCTTTATAATTTTATGTAATAAAAATATTGATAAAATTATAAATAGAGTTCTGTTTTTTGAGTTCCATTGCAAATTGTAGATTGTCTAAAGTGGGCATTATACATTATATTCGATATCATTGTTCATGTATTTATACTTGCAAAACATGACAGAATAAATAAATAAACATCTTTTACGCACTTATATGTATAATCCTGAACAAGTCTACTAATTAATGTGTAATATAAAATGCCAAGGAAAAATTTATAAATAGATGGGTATACTTATAAATATGAACTGTCTTTTATGTTGTCTGTTAAAAATCAATATCCTCAATTTGTCAAAGAATAATCTACGAAAATGCAGATGCGTTAGTCTATTAACTTAGTGTTAATTGAAATTAATATTTAATGTACAAATTTGTCTGTATATCTGTTTCCTTGGCTTAAAAGAAGCAGACAGGGATCGAATTCCACGCCGCGGCATTCTGCATCCTCGCGAGCAAAGTGAAAAACGAAAGTCTTCCACGAGTTGCATTCAGCCTGCCGCTGAAATTCTGTTCGCCACGAAATCTCCGTGGCCACTTACTAACCGCTGCGTTTTATCTTCTTGCAGGGATGGTAGCGTGGTCGAATTACCATCAGTACCATCAAGGCCAGACGAGCGGTCAGCACAAGATCGCGTACAATTCTAATTCGGCGAGCCTGAAGATTTCCCAGAGATCGGGCGGCTGCCTCGACAAGAATCCAGGTTGCTACAAGTGTCCGAAGTGCGGCAAGAGTTACCGTTGGCTTAGGAACATGAAGAACCACCTGAAGATCGAGTGCGGCAAGGATCCGAAGGAGTGCTGCCCTTACTGCCCGCATCGCACGAAATACAGGAGCAGCCTGCACAAACACATCCTCAGGATCCACATGTGCTAATCTCGCGGACGCGGTTTATTAGCTGTCCCATCGTTGTACATTGAATCGATAGTTACCAACGGCACTAGTTATTAATCGCACATTCGTACTAGACGATATCAATTATTATTTATTGATTGATTAACTTGGCGCACAGTTGAAGCACACTATTGCTGTTCGTAATTATTGCTCGTTGTAAAGTCGAAATCACAGTGGCGTTGTTAAATAGCTGATCAAGTTTGTTGTGCGGTTTCTTTTTTCTGTACCTTGTTTAACGTCCTCGGAAGTTTCTGCAAAACGTGATGCCATTTTGATTGTTAATCGATGTTTAACGATGATGTTTGCAGGGATGCGGAACAATCAGTCTGCCATTTGGTATGTGAGAGATCTCAAAGAGCATATGTAATCGAAGTGCGGTATGCCGTTACGGCAATGCTTGTATTGTCAATATACGACCAAGCGAGCATGGAACCTGAAGAGGCGCATCGAGAAATGTTATTTGTCTTGAACAATATCTTTTTTTAACTTTGATATATAGTTTTTTTTATATATTTTATATATATTTTTTGGCATAGTTTTTTTTTTTACATTTTTTATTTATATACGGTATGTTATTCAAAGAAATTTTGCGGAATAAGTTTATTTTTTGTTTCTAAATTTTTATTTTCGGAAAAGGTGCAAATTTATTTTGACTTTTTGTGCATTTTTGACATTTGTACAGCATAAGTTGAGAAGATCCGCGCGTTGTTGAAAGAAATTTTGTGAAATAAGCTTAGTTATTGTTCACCTGATTTCTTATTTTTGAGAAGTGTAAGTTTATTTTTGATCTCAAAGTAAAGATTTTTCACTTTAGTGCTATCAAAGAAATGTCATATGTTGCTTAAATAAATTATTAATGCAATTTTGAAAGTTTATTTTATTTATCAGATACCTGCGTGGCTTCGATTCGTTCACAATGGAATCAATTCATTGAATTTGCATCCTGGAGATTCGCACAATTTCATCATTAGTGTTTCACAGATAGATTTTCAACTTACTCGTCTTAATTTTCATCTCACTTTTCTTTTCTCATCCGATATTAAATACGTAGCACAATTTTATTTGCTAAAATCATATTTCTGCAAACAAAGATGTTAAACAGGTACATAATTATGCATTTCCTGTAATAGTTGATTCATAAATTAATCTTGCCATCTTGCACAGTCTATGTATTATAACGCGTAATTGTTATTTTTTCGCAAGGAGTTAATAAATTGTCAATAATTGTAGCAGCAACATTTTTTGTGTGAATTAACATTTCTGCTTCAGAGAGATATTTTGTCGCGTGTTAATAATTACGAGATTTTTCGAAGTATCCTGCGAAATTGACGAATTTCCCATTGGAAGGTGATCACATCGCGGGCAAGTCGTTTGGTCTCTCACAATTGCAAAAAGCTTCGTCACTGACTAGCATTTCTGTTGCAGGTACGATGTACGTGTGTCAATGCTGCGGACGACATTTCGCTTGGTGCTCGAGTCTGCGTCTACATCAGAAAATGGCGTGCGGCAAACCACCGAACTTTCACTGTCCCGTCTGCGATTACAAATCGAACTTTAAGGGCAACCTGAAGAGGCATCTGTCTTACAAGCACAGGCTAGATTGGCATTAACACTCCGCTCGGATTTTAATCAATGATTGATGTCTAAAATAAAGTATATTTATTCGCATCTCCTACTGATAATTTTCCCTCTAGTCCTCTTAACTTCCCGTTGATGTCGCTGTACAATTGCAGCAATCGCGCGGCTCTCCTCGCGGATTAGTCTGTTTCAGATCTCGAAAATTAATGTGGCGCGAGGGACGGTCGAAGTAAGTATGTGTATGCAGGAAGAACAATTCGCACGTGTGTTAGTATTCCTCCTCGAGACCGAAGAAGCGCTTTTCGAGATCGGCTGACACGTAAAATTACAAGTTTTCTCTGTTCCGACGAGCAGTGTCTCCTCCGCTGAAAGCATTGCGAGTCCGAGAAGACGTTTTCGCGGAGTCCGTCTCTCGATCACTCTCGGAAAGCGCCGTCTCGCGGGAGATGGATCGTCCCGTGGACGGCTTCGCGGAGGATCCATTTCCGACTTGCTCAAGGCATGCGCTTCGATGTATAGAGAAATCCACCTTGGCTGCAACCGACGCTTGCACCTCGTGATTGTTCGTGATTCCCTCCCGGGGCCCGCGTGACGAGGAGGGCCCTCGCGGGGCCTGGCCTCCGCCCAGGAAAACGATTCACGCGGTCTGCGTGATCGCGCTCTAACAGACCTCTCTTTTCAGATGCGCCCCTCTTTCCGATCGTGAGGCCGCGGCTGCACGTCTGTCCACGTTGCGGCCAGATGTACTCGTGGGCGTCGAATCTGCGCAAGCATCTCAAGATGGGCTGCGGCATGGTCACCTTCGAGACGCACTTCTCCTGCCAGTACTGCCCGTACAGATCGCGGATCGAGGCGAGCTTTCTCAAGCATCTGCTCTCGGTGCATAACATCAAGTAGATGCCGGGCCGGGCGACACCCGTCACACGCCGATCGCCGTCTCCTGCGTGAATCGTGGAAGTGCGCCCGCGGAAAAATTCGTCCCAAGTTCTTCTTGCGATCGATATTGCGATACTGCATACTGGAAATTCGCCGATCATGACGGTACTTTTCTTAGAAAGATACGAGACTCACCGCGGACTTCTTGCGTCGGATAATCCGGTGAGCGGATAATATCATACGACTTGCGGAACGTCTTCCTATCATTTCCCATGCCTATGTTCTTATCTGACGAGAAGTCCGCGCTACGAAGTCGAAGCTAGTGCAATGCGTTCCTAACGAAGAGCAAAATATTGTCCCGCGTTAATATTAATTGGACGACGAGTGTGTACAGCGTTTATGTGCGATCGCTTTGAAACTATCCAAGTATTGACTTTCTACAAAAAAAAAAAAAACAAAAAAAAACCGTAGGACGTCGTGTAGTTGTAATATGACACGTCATATCAATGATCCGTATGGTTTAAGTGTCGTACTATAGACTCCATGTGGTGTCGTCGTTGGCATTCAAGATTCTGCGAGAGCGATCTGCGACTATTAGTTTGTAAGTGACGCTTGCGGCGTTTATATCGACCTATCTCAACAGGATTATTTTATTTCAGATTTACTTTAAGCCGTAAATGTGGAAGAGTTAATAAGCGTTTCTTTTATTCGCAGAATATGCGTACGTGGCGCGAAGAAAGTGAATTTGCAGACGTAATTACGCGCAATCGAATGAAACGAAATCTAGTCTAAAGGCTGTTTCTTCCGTAAGATTTCAGACGAACCGATTTCGAGCTGCGATTCGGAGATAATAATTATTCTTTTTTATATTCTAACAGAGAGTGGGTAACATTTATAGGAATTTATTAATATTACTTAATGTTAAGTAAAATATGCAATTGTAACTGCATTGTATATTCTTTTTAATTGTGCTGATTTTAATTAAGAAAGATCCAAGTATATATTCGCATCAACGGTGATCCAAATTTTACGCTTCTAAACAATTGTATTTATTAAGATAATTGTTGCTCTAGCTTGAAAATTTCATAATTTCTGCTCTTAGCAAAAGAAGATTCTTGTCGCTTTTACAAATAAAAATCTTTGCAATAAATATTTTATGTGAAGATTTTTTTAAAAACCAATTTTTAACTCTTCACAAATTATTTTTTCAGTCTTCTTCTTTCCTCTTTCTTTCTTTCGCGACTTCTTTTTCGCCATTGATGCGATTCGTAATACTTGAGATCGTTTCTTGCAGTTCGTAATTTCGATATCGCCATGGCACACACGCCATAGATATCACTGTGTATGTCGCGCGCGTATGTGTGTACGTGTATGTAAAGTGTGACAGAAAAGTCTGATTACTATTTAGAAACGAGACATTAATGGTCACGTAACGTAGCTGTAAGTATAGGAAGATATGTTTGGCGATCATCGAAGATTATAATAATGATCTTGAAGGTAGATCGATAAATTTAAGGGTGAGCGTAAACTTTAAGAAGATGTCGATGGAGCCATTTTTTAACGCGACTAGTAATATTGTCCTTGTACCGTCGATTATCGTGCATTATAGAGACTGCTCGGATTATAGTGCAATTTGATTGTAAATTACGCTAGCTCCTAGCTACACTTAGCCATGTGGTGTAGCGGATTTTAGACGACGGTTACTTACATTTATCGACGTACTGACAATTAAGCGTATCCCACAGCAATCACCGTAAAGAGATTTCTTTTACAATAATGTAATCAACGTAGGGATAAGCATGCATCCGTGGCCTCTTTTACGATATATACGATTTCATCTAACATAAATCATTGGTAATCTAGAGCTTTGTACCGCACGACCACACCCTGTTTTCGTTTCACGGACTGTTTTTACATCGTGCAATAACGAAACGAAGAGAGCGAAACGATACTATGTAGACCGTAGATGAATTACTGTCAGATATTCGAAGCGCTATATCGTCCCATAAATCACATTAATCACTTATCTAAATTCGAAACGCTAACTACGACATTTTCGTAACATAGGAATCAAGTATTTCGACATAAAATATTTCAACTGATTAAATGTAACGAAACGTAAGCCTACACGAGAGCCTCGTAAACAGAAGAGGGTACAAGTTTAGAAGTTTTAGAGAAGGAGTAAGAAAGAAAAAAAGGAAAAGAAATTGTTCGACGTATATTGAGAAAATCAGGATTCACCCAATTATTCTAATGAGAACGCTACCACCGATGCTCGCTACAAAAATTCACTGTCACAAAAGTCTTTATTATGCGCGTGGATGACAACGTGCAAAGTAACAATGTTATGATGACGATACGAAACCACCTGTCTACGAGACACCGCTGATGTACTTTATCCAGTCGATAGATCAGTAGATCGATAGATCGATCGAGCCAGACGTCGCGTCGGCTGCGCTGTGCAGCGATTAAGTGTTTGTGTAACGATGTTTCGCATTCGTTTGCTTTCTAAATAAATACCTGTGTAAATATTCGCAGTCACGAGAATGTTCTTCGAACTGCATCCTCTTGTCTTCGTTGCACGTTGCTACTGATTATTTACGACTTTGCGAGATTATAGCTCGTTTCAATTTCAGAATCGAAATTGTCGACAAAAGTTGCATTATTTATTTTCTTCTAAAAGATATTAGGTTCTCCGTCTCTTTCTATTGATTTTTCCGCCGAACTCTATTTTATTCCTGTTTACTGCTGTCATAATTATCATGAGACAACTTTTAGTGAGGAATTCATCGTGATTTTATTGCTTTATTCAATTCTTAATTATCTCTAATCATCAGACAAATTACGATGAGGATGAGAAATGTTAAATGAATCTTAAGTTGCTTGTTCAAGTTCTTTTCATCAGATTATCGCAATCTTTTCCACATTACTCTTTACTATTCTGTTATAAACGAAAGATCACACGGATTGTTACGATGACGACGTACCTTTATTTACTTACACGGAGTGGAATGTCGGGGCGAAACGGAGCGGTTGCCGTACTTTCAGCATAGGTATGAAATGTATTCTGTATAAAACATTAATGTTCATCGCATGCTGCTTAGATGTAAATGTTTTCAACGAAACGAATCGCGGATCTCAGACCTCGAGAAGGCTCGAGCGGTTGCTCTCGCTATTTAGTCGTCTCGAACGCGTACATGACGAAATCGGCTCTTGTGTTTCAGATCCGCTCGCTTTGGAGGACTGGGAGATGGTCGACAGCGACACAACCAGCAGACTCGGTAACTATGCCGGACGCAAGATCAGATTCAAGCGCGAGTGTATGGAACATAGGTACAGGTGCTCGAAATGTGCCAAGTCGTATCGATGGAAGCATCACCTCGTGGAGCACATGAAAGCCTTCTGCGGTCAGAAGAAGGAGGAGTGCTGTCCGTTCTGCAGCTACAAGAGCAATCGCAAGTGGAATCTCAAATCGCACATGAAGAGAATCCACGCGAGCACATAAGAAAATGCTTTCCAATGAGGCGCCCGACACGAGATATTTGATAGAAATATTGAATTATTATTGACGAAATATTTTTTTGTCGTTTCGCAATAAATGTTTCACTTTGATGTTCTTCAATAAAGCAAGCATTTACCTCACTCAGATCTCTCGATTTGCTACCCAAAATTCGTTCAGGTTTCGAAAGCGCGCAATTCGAGGAGATACATTGAATTATCGCTGCCATTTGCGCTCCTGTTCGAATTGAATTCTTGAAGACGAGGAACGCGCAATTTCTTCAGGATATCCACACCTTAGATTTGTAATGTATCGAAACAAGAAACAAATCTGAGGTTCTTTGATTTTCAAATAAACGAAATTTTCTCTCGATTTAATTTAATATTTTACTTTTATCTCATCGATTTTTTTTTTCTGCGAAGCATATTGCGCTCTTTCGAGAAGGAGAAAATCTCTCCGAGCTCACTCCCACTTGAGTATTGAATACACGTGCTTCATCGACGCTTCTTTTGTGTTTCAGGATTATTTGCCTATAATACTAATCGCAGCATCAAGTACAGAACGATCGAGTACAAAACGAGATGCTATAACCGCGACCCGGAACACGTGAGGAGAGCCATGGAAGCTGTCAGCGCCGGAATGCCTTTCAGGAAAGTGGAGAAAATTTATTCCATACCGAAATCGGTTCTGCACTATTACTTCAAAAAAGGCCTCCCTCGGCGCTATCGAATGAGGAAGAGATCCGACATATAGTTTGCAGCACTTTGAGAGGGAGGGAAGAGGAAAAATCGTATCTTCTTAAATAATATAAGGCGATTCTTTGATCGCGACAAGATGACAAAGGGAAGTATGTTATAATGAAAAACTAAAGTTACGAGTAAGTTAGTTTTACTTTTACACTGTATTGTACTACGACTTCACGATTCGCATTTTTGTGGTATGTCGGAGACGTTGTTGCGTTATCAAGATATATTCAGGAGAACATAAAGAAGACGAGTGCAAACACTTATTTGTTGCGTGCAATATTAAGATTAATATTTATATATGACGTTAAATACACTGTTCTACAGCAAGATTTTTATGTTTCTTTTTTTTCATTCCTTCATTGTACATACAACCATCCGGAAAGACTAGCGCAATTTGTGAGGCGATGGTCGCCCGTAACTTGGCATGAAACGCATCTCCTGCGAGAACGAAGTACGCTCGCGCGAAAACTCTTGCGGAAAGGAAACGGCCTTCCGCGAGCGCGACGTGTACTTCCTTTCAGAAACGAGATTTAGATGAGCAGACTCAGCTAGACCCTAGAACACCGTCGAGGAGTTCGTCTTCCTCTATCCGCACGCTATGCACGAATTCGCGAGGAAGAGCCGTGTGTTCAGGAACAATTCTCTAACGAGGTGCTTTCGTGTTTTTCTGTTTTCTAGATACGCGCGCGGCAGGCTATTTGAATTGTCAGAGGATGACTTACCCGTGCAAGAACTGCGGCAAGAACTACAGCTACTACTCCAGTCTGGCCAGACACTTGAAGCACGAATGTGGCGTGGAGCCCAAGTTCCACTGTCCTCTGTGCCCTTACAAGACGAAGCACAAGTCGAGCCTGAACACTCACCTGAACGGCAGGCACATGAAGCTGCTGAGCGAATTCTACTTACCCAACGGCAACAAGACGTCGTCGACGGACACCGGCAACTAAATTGTAATTCGCGTACGGATACGGACGTACAATGCTCTGCGTAGGTGATTCAGAATCCACGCTATTCACGCGTAGCGCGCACGCGCGCGCGCGCGCGCACAAGTATTGCATTTGTTTCACGATTGTATTAATCAGAGTATTAGGAAAATATCGTGTTATATATTTCCTGTCTAAATTAGAAGAAGCTATAATTTATATAAAAACTATATTGGATTTATATTCCAAATCTATTTAATTTATAAAAAAGTTTATAAATGTGGCGAATATAAACAATATAATGATATTAAGAAGATTATATTATATTAATATATTGATTATATAATTATAACCAAATATTAGGATTATTTTGTCGATTATTTTATCGTATAAATTAATTTCGTCAATATGATTATATTCCAGAAAATAGAAAAACGTAAGTATTAATAATTTTATTATATATTAATTTATTTATATACGCGTTTTTGTGGATAGATACGTAATAGATATGTGATTCTGAATTACCTTGCATATACACGTAACTTGAGCCACCGACGCCATGTGTTTCTTCTGATTAATAACCGAACCGTATATACGAATATATTAACCACCTTTTTTTTTTGACATTATTCTATCATTCTTCCCGAACAAAGAATCTTCCGTGAAAATATCGCTAATAAGCGTTTATTTTTCAACGACACACCAATAGTCTATATTTTTATAAGCATTCGCAATTTTTGCGCGTTATCGCCAATGAGATATTCCAACGTGTATGATGCACAATTCCGGAATTTTGTCGACCGTTTTTTTGAAAAAGAGATCGTAATCCTACTGCATTTTATAATATTAATGTCTTTTGACATGGCGAATTAGATAGTCATATTGTTAGACATAGATAGGAACGATATTAAATTAAATGCGTGTAGTGGCGGATTTATAGTCAACTATAAATATATTCATTTTTGTATGTGTTTTTGAATATACAATGTTTCTTAAGCAAGCTTGTGCTTATGCACAAGAAAGCTCGTTTTGGCTGCTTTATAATTTAATTTTATAATGACAATTTTTTGATCATTAACTGAGAAACTAAAAATTAATGCATATTAATCTATTACAGGATTAACTTAAAATACTCAACAGCACCTTTAAACAATGTAAAAAATATTTTATATTTGTTTAGAATTTTAGATAAAGAAAAAAATATTGAATGGAAGCAAGAATGAGATTGTCGAAACTTGTTATTATATATAAATGTACATATAAACATTTATGTTAGTTTTCTTGTACATTATATATTTCTAAAGTAAGAAAGTTAATTTTGCAAACAAAAAATACATTGTCGTTTTAAATAAAAAAAAAATATATCGATTCACTGCAGAGCGCAAACGCAAACCGAAGATCTCAGTACCAAAGTTTATTGATTATGAAATGACGGACATTCAATCAATGTATGTCGTTAATTTCTATGTCAAAAACGCTTATTTAATGTATTAATTTTGAGGCAAAAATTTACTTAAATTAAAATATTTTAATTGTTTAATGCAATTAAGTTTTTGTGAACAAAAGTGAATGTAGCATAGAGAGGGTACTCCGCGATATCGGAATATTTTCTCGATAAATAACGCCAATAAATCATGCAAGAAACCGGATAAATTTATAATTATTCACGCACGATCGACAATAAGGAAGGCATAGGAACTTTGCACGCTTGTGTGAATAGCAATACGCTTCGTATTGTGTACGCTCGTTATGAAATAACCATACATGTGCGTAAACATTGCGCAAAACGCGGAGTATTATTATAGCAGATATCTATTTACTTCAATAAAAATCATGATCAATTCGTTTCTTTTGTATGACAATCCCCAAGCACAATTTTGACATTTTATTTTACTAACTTTAGTTTTTTAGCTGGACGAGAAAAAAAATATTTATTCTCGATCTAGCTTTAAGACTTTTGGACCAGCAATTCTCTGGATAAGTAAAATCGAGATGTCTGATTTATAAATATAAGACTGATCGATGAAATTGCTATTTCGATAGCGACATCACGATGAATTGATTGAGTTACCTATTAAACTTTTTGATTAGATAACTTAAACAAACTTCTTTACATGATTTTTTTTATGAATGGCATTTGATTATTATCGATTTTTTTTGAATGACTGAAATTGCAAAGCTTCTTAACACCTAAAATTAATAACAATTCTGAAATAAATGCACTCACCAGTGCGTTCCACCGATGCTAATATCCGATCTGTTGTAGGTTTACTTCAGGGAAAAATTCTGTAAAAAAAAAATCAATCAATTAGTAATGACGGTAATAATTCAATTTGCATATGAAAAAATTGTAGCTATCGTAACTTGTGTCTGAGGAAATTAATTTAACATGAAACTTTGACAATTAATGTCACCTTTATATTTAATTTATCTATTTATAACACACGTACAGCTGACATTTTTTTTGCGTGATTCTCTGAGGACAAATATACAATTCACAATTGTGTTTCCATTTGTAATCATCCTATATTCTTCTGCGTGACTTTTCTGTATCATCTCTCACCTGTCTTTCATTTCTCTTATCTACTTATTTAAATGGGCATCTTCCGGTTTAACTCTGTACATTATGCAAAACACTTTGTCTATTGTTGCGCGTTTTGTCTCACTCGGTATTATCGTTGTAATTTTTTTGTGCGCCCGAAAGGTTTTATTGACCTCTGGAGCGAGTTAAATTTCTATTTGTCTATGTTATGTCGACGTTGCTGTCAAAGGAACATCCACGAGAACTTGGTCTTGGCCGTGACGAGTCCGCAATTTATATCTATGGCGAAATGGCATGAGCGCATCCTTCCTCTAACGATAATACGAACCCTTTCAGAGTTGCGTTTCGGCGCTACGGAGGACGCCGATCTTCTCGCGGTGATTGCCAAGCAACAGGACGAGTGGGATTGGCAGTCGGCCGTGTGGACGACGAAGGGCTTCCGGTGTCCCCGTTGCGGACGGTGCTACCAGGTGAAGAGGTCGCTGCGTCGGCACATCCTGGTCGAGTGTGGCAAACCGCCGAGGCACAAGTGTCCTTACTGTCAGCACTACAGCAAGTATAAAGCCGACGTGTCGAAGCACATCGTACACGTTCATCGGGATTTGCTACGGCCTGCCAATTAATCATCGATCGGACACGGGATCTTCATTCTTCTATTTATTTATACGCCGGCAGATTTGCGAGGACAACGCCGAGGACGATGCAGATGACGTTTTTGATTTTGTTTTTCATTTTATGGTGAAACGCGCGTTATACCATGTCAACGATACACTCCACCTTTTATTTTATCGTTAATTATGTGAAAATTGCCGTATAATGATTATAATCTATTAATAAAATTAACCTCAGACTGCATCGAAGGATTTTAGGAATATGACAATCAGGCGTCTATTCTAGCTAAAATAATGGACACAATATTGTATGGACCACTAACAAAGGCCTGTAAATTGCTCTTTGATTTTATTCCATATGTACCTGACAAGCTTGTAAATTGCTCTCTGATCAGGTCTCATGTACCTGACAATATATGTATATGACATCGAAAAAGATGTTGGTGGATGTTATTATTTCCTTGTCAACGTGATTCGATCAAATCTATGAAAAATATGTGTTAAATATATTGAATATATTCTAGATAATAAAAAGATGGCGGGAAAAACCGCGAACGATTGGTAACAGATAGGCTGCAGGCGTGAGTATGTAGCAAGTTTTAGATAAATCAATTTCAGAGATATTCCACACTTCTGATGCACACTAAGAATGTGTCATTATGTCTGCATGCTTGCGATATTCTGTATTACATCTTCCAGGAACATTGCGGTTTTCTTCTCATTTATAGGTATGACTGTTTACACGTACAACAACATACTTTCCACTGTTATTTCTCGGTCACGTTAACACTCTACGATCCAGCCCGCTCGACCACCGGTATTGCGCGCGATTTATCTTGTCGCGTTCATTCGCCGCGCGGTCTTGCGAATGTAGATTCCGCATCGGTCAAATTGCCGCTCGCACCGTTGATCGAGAAAGAGAAAGGTGTACGGATCGCAGATGATTAACGACGCTTTTTTCCAAGTACGAGGACGAAGCGGTGGCTACCGGGGGGAGCTCCTTCCAGTATTAATAAAACGCTCTTCGTGATTGCAGGCTTTAAGACGAGCTACTACATGACCCGAGGGATGGAGCGACGCCGTTGCCGCGGCCAGGGTCGCTTCACCTGCGCCAACTGCGACCGCCGTTATCACCAGATGAAGAATCTGCGAAGGCACGTGGTAAACGAATGCGGCAAGCAGCCGATGCATCAGTGCTCTTTCTGCCCTTACAGAGCGACCTACAAGTCGTACCTTACTGTGCACATGATGAAGCACGCCAGATACGGATTCACACCTCGTTCGGCCGTCTTCAAGCAACATTGAAAACTGTAAAAATCTCAAATGGACAAATGTCTGCTAACACATCAAACTCTACTCGAATGTTAAAATTATTAGAACTTTCTCGATTTAAAATCGCTATCGATGAATTCTTTACTCGACACCGCTCGTTTGGAGCACCCTACAATTTTTAGACGAAATTAAATATAATTAATTCTTTTGACGTAAGTGTATATATTTGTGCAATAATTGAATTATATGTAAAAGAGATCACATTTTTGAGCGGTATATTCTGTTTTTTTTTTTGTACAGTCAATTTGTTCAAAATATTAAACATTCCAAACTACTGTTTAAACTACTGTGCTAAGATAAACATCCATCACGAGTATCGCTTAATTAGATCTAAGATTCTAAATGCTGCCGGAATCTAATAAAATCTGCGACTCATTTCAAGACCAGCATTTGAATTTCTTAATCCTCTCAAATCTTTACGTTTTCGCATCTCGATCATAGATTATATCCCTTATATTCCATAAGCAAATAAAGGATAATAATTATGATAACAATGACGAGGGAGGTAAGTAAGGTTTAATTTTGCAAAATGGGGCAGGTACGCACATCTTAATCCACCCAGAAATAATGGATCACCCATAACCGTCATTATTTTTCGAAATATTCATACGACAAGTAACATTTATGTTTGGCTTCTGGTGTTTGCGCGATAAGAATATTTAGAAGATGACGGATCGATGCACCGCGAGATGGAATCTCGCGGGGAGAGCGGAAAACGTTATCCTTCATCTGAGCGGAAGCAGAATCGGTGTCGTCACGAGGCATCACGCTTGCCCGTCGGCAAGTCCAGCCGCACTAACCGCCATCAAATTTTTTTCTGTTTCAGTTGATCCGAAACGCAATGTACAAGCGATGTACAAGCACACCTGCGTCACCTGCGGCAAGGCTTACAAGCACAAGCACCACCTGAAGCGTCATCACGACTTCGAGTGCGGGATCGATCCGAGGTTCAAATGTGCATTTTGCCCTCACAGGACCAGATACAAGGATAGCCTGATGAAGCATATACTGGCGCGGCATCAGCACTTCCTCGAGCAGAACTCGCAGTACAACGGTCACCAGGCTTATGAATCGCACGCCGACACCGAAGTGAATTTTCCCGTGCAAGGGACCAATGTGTTCAATCTTTATGATTTTCCGCAAAACCTTTAACTCGGTCTATGTGAATTGCGTCAGCGCTAGGTGACTGCGGATATAGCTAGGAGAGCACAACAAATTTCGACATGGAAAACAAGAATTTTGTTATAGTAGTGAAATAGCAGCGTCGCTATCGCATATTTAGATGTGATAGTGAGAAAATTTTCATAGCTAATTTTTCAAATTACTCGGTATATCAGCAAAGTCTTTTTCACTGATAGAATAAATAAGTTTTGCTGAATACATTTGTTTGTAAAGACATCAATTTGTTGCTATGAAATAAGTTTAACAGATGTATTTTACTATTACAATACAATTGTTGCTGCTAATACAAATTTGTTGATAGCAAAGTAATGACAGTGATGATTAACAGTATAAAATTTGCTGTGCAAATTCTTCTTTTCTATACGTGAAAGACAAATACGCGAGAATTATTGCACGTTATTTACTAAATCGTTTGGTATTGTTGCCCGTTCAATTCTGATCTTTATCTGTAATTTTAGTTTAACAATGTTCACGAATAATTATACTTGTTTCTGTAGAATTCTCATTGAATAATAATTTTGTAAATCCGCAGTTTTTATTTTTCTTGCATTAGAATTTTTATTTTTAATAAAATTATCAATTTTTACTTTAGGGATCATGTTTAGCAGATCGATACCAAAGTTTTATTGATAAGTTTTAAATTGATAAGTTTTATAAAATAAAATGATCTAATTTTTAAATAACGATATGATAAACATCCATTTAATTAAAGTTTATAATGATCTTGATATTGTTAAATATATGTATATAATATTGTTCTCAATTATATATTAACAAAATACGCGAATGCGAATATCACTAAGATGTATAATATATATTGACGGTATAGAATTATTAAAAAATAAGCCTAAAATAAACTTTTTTCCTGAATCCTTCCACCTTTATGTTCAAATGGCCAAATATATTTCGTAAAAAATCGTTATATGTACTTGTGCGCATCTGCGTAATTGCGATTCTTTATTGTACGTTACATCTTATATCATATCCATCAGTTGCTTTCAAGACATTAACCAAAATTTGACGTCGCTTGTGCGAATTTAAGTCTCGAGTCAGTGCCACCGACGCTTAGCTTCATCTTCCTCTTTTTTTTTTGATTCTCAGGTGCGACATATAGTCCGGCCAACTGGACGATATCCACCTTGCCATCGTCTTCGCGCATCGCCATGTACAGCAGGCGCCTTCGCTCAATGACGACTACCGAGGGTAACAAATCCAGCGGATCCGGTCCCCGTAAGTATCTCTGCAGCGACTGTGGCCGGACATTCGCCCTGAAAGCGTCATTGCTGCGGCACAAAGCGCTGGAGTGCAACAAGGGCCGGCAGCCGTACGAACGCCAGAGCCAAGAGACGAACTACGAGAGGAAGAAAACGAGGAAGAATCACGTATGCTCCAGATGCAATCGCGTTTACGTATTCTTCACGTCTTTGTGGCGGCACCAGAAGTACGAATGCGGCGTGGAACCGAAGTTTACCTGTCCTATTTGTAAATGCCGGTTTGCTCAGAAGAGTAATTTGGATCGCCACGTGCGATTAAAGCACTAAATTTCAATTTGTCTTTTCAATCGTCACTGCGATCTAATCTCAAATCGCATTTTGATTAGGGTTCGAACTGTTTGAACGTGCGTATCTTTAGATCCGAAAGGTGCTTGACATTCGACTGCGAAATCCGAACAGTTTGATCCGCTCGTCCATTTGAAATTTTTTACTAGTTTCGACGTATGTTATAAATCAATTAATTGATTGGAGATCATCGATTTTTTTCATGATTGGTAGCATATCAGTAGCTTTTACATCATTTTACTTTTCGCTTGATGAACTTCAGAATAAAAGAAAACTTAGTGTATATGAAAGAGAAATATAAATATTAAGTTATCATATCTAATAAGCAATATACGCAATGATTAAAAATTGCTTTGTGATCTTATAAGAAAAATGACGCAAATGTCCTTCTCCGATTTTGATGAGCTTTGAATATGTTGTAGAGTAGCTAAAAATAAGAGACATTTTTTTTATACGTACTTAATCACATGTTGAAAAAATCCCCACAAGCTAACGCGGTGTATTAGATTTTGAAGGAATATCGTTAAAACTATAAGAAATATAAAAAAATGTCTTATGTACTTAATAATTGTGCATTTTTATTCAAAAATAAAATATTTTTTTATTTATCTTCACTCTTTATTATTATTTTTACGAATTAAAAAATTTTTTCTAGGGACAAACATTGATATGGAAAGTAAAAATAAGATTAAACGGAATAAGAGTGAATAAAAAATATTATATTTAAAAAAAATACAAAGTATATGATTATAAAATATATAAGATATTATAGAACTTTTATCTGAAACATTTTTTTAATATCTCTTATCGTTTTAACGATATTCCCGCAAAATAAAAAATACCGCGTCAGCTTGTAGAGATTGTTTCAATTTCTGAACATGCAATTGAGGACGTATAAAAAAATTTACATATTTCTTATTTTTAGCTACTCTACAACATATTCAAAGTCCATCAAAGTCGGAGAGAAAGTCACTTGCGTCACTTTCTTTGTTAGATTCATATTTATAGATAATAAATGCAAGAACGTATTGTTGGTTTATAATTTTATTAAATATTATTTTGTATGAACGACGTTTTTATTAATAAAATTGAATTGAGATTGATTAAATTGGGTTACGTATGTATCAGAATTAAGTATTATATTTAATCAAACAATCAAATGTAATAGTACTTTTATTTACGATAAATTGTTTAATTTTTAAATTTTATTTTGTGATATTAATATTAATATTACTCTTATTAATAGTAATTATTAATATCAGATTCGCTTTAAGTTTTTTGACGAAAAGACAGTGAGAGAGAGAGAGAGAGAGAGAGAGATGGTAAAAATATAAATGGTCTTAATGATCGTCTGTATCACCTGAACTATGATGGAATAATGTGTACTATCAATAAGTAGATTATATAGTAGATAATATAATATAGATAATAAGTAATAATGATAATATACGAATCACTATATTTGACAAAACGTACGAAAGTTACCAATTCCTTTAGAATATTAGTGCGATGCGATTCAACTTTATTTGTCATTGCCAAAGATGAGAATTTCTTGATCATACGACTTTTTTTCATTAGCTATGAATATTTAAACAAATATGTGTGTGCATAGTGATGAAATAAATTTGAATGCCAATCTAACAGAGAATAATATCCCTTGTGTAATAAATCATATGTTTCTTGTGTAACGCGCAGGAAAGAAGAGATTTCTTTTTTATTCCGATAAATTTTCGACATAAGTTACGAGTGCGTTTGTCACGATTGTTCACTAAACTTTTGGTATGGTATAACACGCGTTACACTTGTGTGCGGATTGAACAACATTTCGAAGTGTTTATGTGTACGGGAAGTTTTGCGAACGCCAATTTGTGCATGTATCTAATTTTGTCCCGGCATTCGCGTCAAGGTATTTCATCCTGTCTGGTTTTCGTAGGCGAGCCGGCTTCGGTAACGTCAGTCGTGGTCCTACATGGAAACGCGGAGCGTGGAGAAATACTCTAACAATTTCGCTTTTCGTTTGCAGGATACGCGTACGGGCTCAAGGACGGATTTCAGAATTACTCGCCGGACGCGACGGCGGCGCATCCGTTGCTGGTGTGTCCGCAATGCGGACGAACGTACAAGATGAAGCGCAATCTGAAGACTCATATGAGATTCGAGTGCGGCGGCCAGCGGAACTTCAAGTGTCACGTCTGCCCGGCCAGTTACACGCAGAACATCAGTCTGCGTCGGCATCTGATGCAGCGGCACAACATCTACCTGCCGCCGAAGTTCTCGGTACCTAAGCGCATCTTTGCCATACCTTAAACAGCATCTTTGATAGAATCGAAACGTGGGGCGAGATTGCGATGATTTATAATCGACGGTTATAATCTGTGATTCTTTTTCGGACGGTGCGCAGAAGATGACACGTCATATCAATGACGATGTCGCGAGATATTTGATGAATGAATTTATAGAATTGATATGCTGTTTAATATATAGATGTGTTATCGTAAAGTAGAAAAAAGATATATTAATTATTAAATTAGAAAAACGTAAAAAGCTCAAAGCTGAGAACGCGTCATTTTATTGGATTTCGAAATTATTGTTTTGTTATATTTATAAATTTTTTTATTCATATATTTTATGTGGTGTTTTTTTTTTTAAATATTGTTAAGATTAAGTTTAATTGAAAAAAATCGATACCAAAGTGTCCTATCAGTTGAGAGTGTACTTCAAGATGTCAAACTTATAAATATTCAATTGTCGATGCATGAAATGCGAAAGTGAAGAATAAATTGGTCGCGCAAGTTTTGAAAGCTAAAACATGAATCGTGTAATATTGAGTAAATTATTTCAGAAGTTTCTTTTGGAGAGAAAAATGTAACATACACCGTAATAAACTTTTCATAGACGATCGTGTGTACGCTCAGCCTCCCCCCTCCTTCATTCTTGAAGGAAAGGATATTGGCAACTGATTTTGCAGAAGACGTGTGTGACTAATGTTATTTCGAGAGAAATCAGAGTCGCATCGCCCGATACTAATCGATCACTTTTCTTTTGCAGACCCGCCATCGGCGACCGCGTCGCGACTCATACGCAAATCACTGAGGAGCGATCGGGTGTTCGTCTGTCATCAGTGCTGCAGATCGTATCAGACAAAGTACAACCTGATGAAGCACGTAAGATTCGAATGCGGCGGCCGGAAGCATTTCGCTTGCACCCTGTGTCCTTCTAGGTACACGCAGAACGGAAAGCTGCGCCAGCACATGCTGAACAGCCACAACATCTTTATGCCGCCGCGAATGAAACTGATTCTCAAGCCGGCTGTATCGAACAACGAGTGATTAACCGTCCCGACTCATTAATAAACGGGCGTGAACTGCCCAGTACAAACGAATAATCTGTCACCCTATTTATTATCCTTCAGCGAAGAGAGTTTATAACGATATTGCGATGGAAATGAATAAAGATGAACGTTGATTTTTCAAGTCCGATGCATGTTGTGAGAAAACAGAAATATTTGTATACTTATTGTAGTGTATCGATATGATTTAATATGAGTTACTAATGGCATTGTTATCACTCAGCTTTGATTTATCTTTGTAACAGGATGATGTATTAGCAGCATGTTTATTTCTCTTATAATTTTTCCTTTTTTAGATAAGTTTTTCAGACACTGCATAGGGTTCAGACTATTGCATACGACTTTTCTGAAATGCGATAGTTGATGGTAATGTGGTGATATATTCTATATATTACCATTACTTTTCATTAAAATGAAAATTCCTTAAATATGTTTAATTTGAAGAATTATTAAAAGTTTTGTATATTTATAAAAGATTCTTTATGTCTGCAATAAGTACTTATTGTAAGTAATTACTATTAATAAGGAATTAAACCTCGGATTACTTTCTACAAACTTTCTTTCTTTTCAAGATCTTTTTTTTTTAAGTGTTCATTAAAATAAATGATACGTGCGTAAGATATTCTGAAGAAACGTACATCAATGGCATGATTACATTCTTGAAAGAATGCGGGACTGATTTTTCCGAAACAAAAAGACGACGCGTTTGTTTTGGATTTCAATACAAGCTGCAATTTTCGTTATGGAAGAATAAAGTGCGAATTCTTTCAAGAATTTAATTCAACTGTTATACGTTCTTCCGAAATGTGAAGCTAAAATATCGGACGACTCGCATTCTTAGATGAAATGTAACGTATTATGTAAGTATATAACTCCGTTACATGTAAGTAATACTTCGCGACGTATCTTTCTTCAAGGCAGAATATCTATACTCGAAGACGGTACGATTTGCCAGACTGATCGCTCCGACGTCAACCACTGGACTCCGTAAAAGTCACGTGAAATCGGGAGAAATTTAGTGCGCGATCTTCACACTAATCAGCGTACGAATGTTATTTTTTCAGGTTTTTACACGAGCTTCCATCCTCGGGAAACGATCTACGGCCGAAAAGCGCACGCCGCACCCACGAAGATCGGCAAACCAAAAACGAGCGCGAAGTGCCCGGGCAACGGCGAAAATCAGGCACTTCAGTGTTCCGCCTGCGGCAAGAGATACTCCTTGAAGCACAACCTAGCAAGACACGTGCGCTTCGAGTGCGGCGGTCAACGTAGGTTCTCCTGCCATCTCTGCCCGAACAAGTACACGCAGAACGTCAGTCTGCGGAGGCATCTGACGCATCATCACAATGTCGTCGTGCCCGTGAAGAAGAGGTACAACGGCATGAAGATCTGCAACCGCGCCGCGTACCAGTGAGAACAGCGGCGCGCAAGAGAGCTTCGCAGGAAAATGACGGATGGATTACCGCGAACGAAGATCGCAAGACTTGTGCCAAAGACTTATCCCAAAATGTAGAATTGTTATCTTCGAGTTGAACGGAGAACGTAGAACTTTGGACCCGTGGAAGCAACGTGAACGTGATGTGTTTTGTACCGAACAGACTCTTTGGACATTGTTTTAGCTTCTGTAGACTTTCGTAGCTATTCCAGTATAATAAAGATATACGCACTGGCACACACTCGTGTTTCAACTTCACAGGAAGAAATTAATGTACCACATTAATACGTTTTTTAATATTATATCACATCCTAATTTAAAATTTGTTATTTACGAAATATAAATTTTACAGAACACTTTTATCGGTGAAAAATGCTCGCAGCGAACAAGGAGATGTCGCTTGCTTTTTTCCTACTTTGAACAAGTCGGCATTTCGACTCTTACACTAGGAAAAATATTTAGTTGAAAAAAATCAAATTTTTGTTACTGTGACAAAAATATTTGCTCAATCAAATCTAATTAGTTATCTTAAACAAATGCCTTGGTAGCAACATTTTTTTTTCTTACAATTCCTTTTCTTGATATAACAATTAACAAACGTTAACAAAAGAAGTTTTATTAATTTAAACAAATATTTTGTTGTATTAATTTTGCTTTATTAAACTAACTTTATTTATTTGAATTAAATATAAAATCTCAATTTCATTGAAAATTTTCTAACTAAATTATTTAATCAAGACAACAAAATGTAAAAATATTATTTTAGCAAAATCTTTTATAATATGAAACAAAATATTTGGTTGTTATAAACAAAAACTTCAACTATAAAATTTTGTCAAAAACGCTAAACTTTTTTTCCTAGTGTAATCACGTAGGAGAAATGGAAGTATATGATCAGACGTTCGTTTCGAATATTTATCTTCGATAAAGCGTCCTTTTCGTGACTTGCATGTCAACTTAATTCAACGTTTCTGCCAAATATCGCAAACAGAAGAAAAATACTGACACTGAAATTATTGATCATACTTAAATTTGTCACCAAAAATCACTGATACTTGCTGAAGAATCGTGAATTCTTTTTCGATCTCATTGATCTCCCACATTTTACATCACGCTAAAACTGCCGCGAAAATATCGTCTCGTCATCGATGTGCTACACGCAATGTACACAGGACGCAGCCTCAAAGTAACGACTCTTTTTCTTTCGTTCAGCAGGTTACTCCTCGACCCGCTTCACCTGCGAGCGATGCAAGCGCAGCTACACGATGCTCTGCAATCTGCGCAGGCACATGAGATGGGAGTGCGGCGGGAAACGTCAGTTCCCGTGCAACGAGTGCAACTACAGTTTTACCCAGAAAACGAGTCTGCAGCGGCATTTGATGAGCCGGCACTTGACGAGCGCGGTTCATAAGCCAGAAAAATCGATATGGTTTTAGACTGAGCCTCGCAAAATGAATTATGAAGACTCGCGAACGATCTTGTTCCAATCGATCCCTTATCCTATGTCCGACAGATATCAATTAATCGTCAAAAGCAGGTCGAGCAGACAATCTATGCTTTGAGTGTGACTCGACGAGTCACCCGATTGATCGACCAGGCGAGATCCTGTCTCCGCGAATCGCGCTCCCGATCCCGCCAACCTTCCTCCCATCTCTCTTTCTCTTTCTCTTTCTCTCTCTCTCTCTCTCTCTTTTGTCGACGAGAAGTCTTGGAAACGTGGTCGTGCGTTGCAGCACGTGCGAGTGATGATGCGATCGTCGAGACTCGCGTCTGACGATCTTGGTGAACGGTGTGAGCTCACGACTAACACGGCTGTCGTCTTCGTATTCTTCCAGGTGTCAACTGGACGGGTGCAATCGCTCAGCCAGGATCGTATCGGAAGTCGCGACACGCGAATTACCTGATGGACGAGGATCTCATGCTCAAGTGTCCGCAGTGCGGCAGAGGTTACAAGGTGAAGACCAGCCTGTCGAAGCATCTCAAGTACGAGTGCGGCGGCCGTAGGAACTTCTGCTGCGACGTGTGCGGGCGCAGCTTCACGCAGAACATCAGCTTACGCCGCCACTTGATGCACAGCCATAACCTCTACCAGCCGCCGAGGAAGTGCATCCGGAAAATGTTCGTCAAGTGAAGACCTCGCCGTTGAAGATCGTCCGAGGAAAATCTGACGCGCCCCGTCTTCCAGATGGAATCGTCGCCTCAAGAGAGACCCGTGATCAGTGAAGAGTGACTCGTTGGACACACACACACACACACGCCTGCATAATGTCGCGTCTTCTCGCGAAGATCGTCCGTAGCTTAGCGCCGAAAATTCAGCGTCCTTAGAAGATTACATAGGATCTGTAACACGTTGTAGCCTCCCCTCCTCGAATCGCGCACACCCGAAGTTCACTGTTCGAAGATTCAATAATTGTAATAGCATGCCATATATATGTTTAACGTCCGACAGTTTATCGGGCATTAATAAAATTGTAGACGCCGTTAACACTTTGTGCCTATCCAACTGTTGCAGAATAGAAAGTACATATTATCCATATTAGCCGATGACGTAACAATAAAATTATGCATAATCAATCACTACGAGACATGGTCGTTTGTTGCTTCCATGCCCAGCAATTTTCGATACGACGCCCGAAGCGGGCGCACGCCGTCTTCCACATGAAGATTGATTTTTAAATGAACGATCTCTTTTTTATATAACGATCTTTTGTGACGTTTACTCGATGATTCTCGAAAAATCTGTAAATAGCCAGTTAAAACTTGCGCAGTATTTTTTTACGCATTTTAAAATCTTTATTCTTATTCGCGGCATGTACCGTTTCTAATTCTCTTTTCGGCGTCGTCCTATGCCGAAGAACTGTACATTCTTCGTACCGCTACCACGTATGTATTTAATATATATGTTTTTTTTCCACCCCTCTCCCCTATTTCCTATTTTTTTCTCTATATTTTTCACGCGTAATATTCGCGATTCTTAACGATTTTATGTAGGAATAAAGTTGCGAAATCCATGCGTTAGAGCTCTTAATTTATTGACTTTCCGCCGGTTTTCAATATTTCGCACATTAATTTTTTTTTTTTACAAACTTCACACGCATTCCTCTATGCGTCCTCATATATTTGTTCCTCTTAATCTTTTCGATTTGCCTTTCTATTATCGATTTGACAAGGTTCTCGCCTTGTCTTATTCGATTCAATATATTTAAACGTCTTCATTTGTCGCAACAAATATACTTACTTAAATATCAAGAGATTTTTCAATATCCGTGATTCCCCGAGTCTTTCGCACCTTTCGTATTTTCATCCCGCTGTCTATTATCAATGATTTCTTCTCGAAGAACAATAAAGCTTTTATTTTTTTCTGCCTCTATACCCGATCCCATCACGATCTTCCCTAACGCCGCCTTTTTCGTTTTCCAGGTACACCGGATACGAACATGCTCAATTATCCGGTATTTCTGAAGTCACCGATACCACCGATACCACCGATCGATCTCAGCATGAATCGATCTTGCTTCGAAATCCAAAGCGGCATTCTCCCCTGCCATTCAAAGGTGGCGCCCACCACACCTACATCCATGGAAATGTCTGCGATGGAAATGTCCGCGATGGAAATGTCCGCGATGGAAATGTCCGCGATGGAAATGTCCGCGATGGAAATGTCCAGACCTATGGAAATGTCATCGATGCAAAAATTCTACCCGCCGCAGAACTACAAGCAATTCACGTGCTCAGATTGCAGAAAGGGCTTGTCCTGCGCTTACGCTTTGAACCGTCATAAGAAAACCGTTTGCGGGAAGACTCGCAATCCCGACGGCAAATGGAAATGCGAAACCTGCAACAGATCATACGACTCGAAAGGCAGTCTGTCGCGTCACCTTAGAAACGAATGCAACGTGCCTTCTAAGTTCGGCTGCATCTTCTGCCACAGGCGCTTTACTCAGTATTCGAGCTTGAGAAGACACGAGAAAAAGTTTCATACAGAGGAGTGCAAAAAAATACAAGAGGCCGATGCTGCTCAATACGAGCTAGGCAACCATCTCAGGAGGCATAATCTGGAACCGAAGAATTCCGCATTTCCGAATTGCACTTATTATCGAAAGCGACGTCGATCGGAGTCAACATCAGATCAGAATAACGATAATCCACGCGTGAGTGATGATACGTCCGCTAGAAGTGACACTGCGATTTTTTCCTTGCCACAAACAAACATACAGCCCGATCGGAAAAAACGACGAATTACGATAAACAGTTAACACTCTCATGACGGTTTAAGTGGTTTTTGTCGAAGGGTTCGCTTTGAAGAGACTTTCTCGTAAATAATAATTCGCGGAAAATGTCAAGTGCAAAAGGTCAATCATTGTTCAAAAGAAGAAAAGTGCTACTTTAAAATAAGTAATAGTTCCTTGGAAAAAAAAAGAATTCTATCCATAAAACGAGCCTTAAGATTGATTAGGAATTGATTTTTGTTGTTATTTGGGACATAAGTGTGATGTCTAAACAATTCTAAGAAACAAAGAGGTTCCTCATGAAGAAAGTTCTGTTACATAAATGTCTCGTGTGTTTATTGGTAAGAACATTTGTCTCGAATTATCACATCTGAACGATTTCGGTGTGTGTTAGTTTTTAATGAAAGCTAAAAGCGTTTGCACTCAAATTTTTAAGAATACTCTTTTTATTAGGAACAAGAGTTCAGACATCGGATCAAAAGAAAAGAAAATATGCGCAATGCGAAAACTTAGGCTACAAATTATTGCGTTTATAATTGTGGAAAACAAACATGTGTGTGTACTTTGAATGTGTGCTCAATTTTTATATGAAATGCATACGTTACATTCATCAGCAATAACTATTGCGCCAAAAATACAGTTTTCATAATATTTATAATATATATACATATATATATATTTGTGCTTATTGCGGATTTATTGCAGATAAATTTAATATATTAAATTTATATTCTAAATTTTATTGACGTTAATTTTATTCTACATTGCATGACGTAGAATTGGAGAAACAATAATTGGAAAGTAGAAAAGATGATGTGTAACTATGTTTCTTGACTAGCGTTTTGCTTTTTTTGCTTTGCTTGATTACTTTTTTTCGTAATTAATTATAAATATGTTAATGATTAATTATGATAAAATATTCTTTAAACATATTGCATACCCGAGAAAAAATGGTATAATATGATCAAATGTAAATATACTTGTATAATTAGTTCTGAAAGGTCTGATAACATTTAATATTTTATATGATCATATAAAATTACATATATTATTAGATCTTTTCATAAACTAATTATAATTAATTATATATAATTATAACTAATTATTTATAACTAATTATTCATATTTACATGTGACCAATTATACCATTTTTTCTCGGGTAGTTTTATACATTTGATTTAAATTATAGTAGTTACAGCAGTAGACATCATATTTTATAGAAAAAATATAGAAGTAACTTATAAAAAAAAAGGTTTATTTCTAGTTAACAGTAACTGAACAGCTGTTCATAATTTTTATAAGTGTTAAATTGCGTATATTTTAAAAAATTTTTTTTAAATTCTAAAATATATCAAATTAAAAAATTCTAAATTTATATATATATATTTATAAACAATTTATATGCTCTAATATCAAAATTATATATTAAAACATATATTTAATATATTAATACATTTAATTTTGTTATGTAATGATGCACCGAAAATAATGAAATAATGAAATATTATCTACAGTTGCGGAAGTAAAAAAATATTATATTTAATTTTTATTTGGGTTAGTCTATTCAACGTGCATTGTTAATTTTCTCTATTTAAAAAAAATTTTTTTAACTAAAAACAAAAGAATATTAATAAAATATACACATGTTTATTGTTATACATTTTATATCTAAGACCAATCTTTACAACTAGTGTTTTTTTAATTGTATTTTGAATTACTATATTTTTTATTGTATTTTTGGCGTTATCGATTTGTGAGTCTGAACTCTTGGCCATCACATTATGGTAGATTATATATAATAAATTTACGTAAGTACGTAAAGTAAGAATAAAGACTGTTTACAACTTTCTTCGAACATTGTAAGCACTCTGAAAGGAGTCGGCAAAGAAGAATAAAATAAAATGGAAATTGATGTCACCAAAAAGAAAGACAGTGCCGCGGTAGCTGGAAGTGTTTACGTGCCCTTCTCTTGAAAAGTGTCTTATAGTCATTTGTAATGCGCACGCATCGATAATACATTGCAGCATAGTAAAACAAGTAGGCTTTGTTATTGATTGTTTAGAGTGTTGTTGTGAATGAAGAATCACACATCTGTCGACGCGATAAGATAGTTTAAATGTATGACGTTACGTTTTTTCCTCGCTATTCCGTTGTTTTATGTGTTTGTCACTGATACGCTTTCAATATAACTTCGACGCGCGGAGTACCGCTATAGGACGACGTGCAGCTAGAATATGTGTTTCTTCTTATGCCTTTTCTCGAGTATTTTGGTATTATATAACGCGATACTAATTACTCGAGACATTTTTCTTACCACTATATTTACTTTGTTAACATATGACAGAAGGGTTTAGACTAGTTAATACACAATGGTGCACTTAAGAAACTTTCTCATTGACATATTAGCGTGGCGATTCAAGTTATAAGCTCGATAAGGAATTATTTGTAAGGATTGAGCGGTGTACGAGACAATTGAAAAGGCGAAAATAAGTAAACACCCGTTTACTTATTTTGATACTGCGGAACTTAAATTTTTCTAATATCTGCGACGAATTGGAAATTATTGGCCAAATTCGCGTGTCTTGGCTGTGATGATTATTATTCGAAAATTGTTAATCGTTTTTTTCGTGTTTATCATTAAATCGACGTAAGCGAAAAGTTATTTATTTTTATCGGCGCGTAGAGTATTCGGATAAATCAAAATCGATAATAAATAAAAAAAAAGAAAAAAATTGAATGAAGATGGAGAACACGTACAAGACAATCGTCGCATCTGCATGAGAATTCAAATTCGCAGAGTGTTTATTTGCTTCGATTGATACGTTATATATATGTTACAAATAAAGCGCTAAAAATACAATTAGAGATATATCACTTTAAGCAAAAAATCGTATCGGAAAAAATCGTGTATGTATTTGGTACAAAAATCCATTAAAACTGAACTTACTCTAATTATATTTTCAGCGCTTCAAATATATATGTATATCTTATGACACCACATACATATACACATACACGCAGAGGGATACAATTTATGATAAAATTTTGTTGTTCTGTAAAATGATACTTATGCATAATAAAGTCATACAGTTTACACACATCCTGCTGTTTCATTGAGCAACCGGCTGTCTCGATTGCCAGGAAACAGATGTACGCGACATTTCACACTGCGACACGCTTCAAGGGGATATCTTCGATCTATCTACGGCCTCTGTGGGTTAGGATTTGTTTCTCGTATACATCGCAAGTTCCACGACGGTACATGAAGATAAAGGAATTCGTTCTCTTCTCTAATTATTCAAACGCTGTGGTAATTCTTCTCGAGAATGTGAGAAACGACAACATGACTCTTGCAATTTTCCAGTTATCTCTCTGAGGCATTTTTCCACCAATAGCGATATTGTCTGACAACGTCTACGCGTTTGGCTACGTTCAACGGGTTGACGAGACGTGCAAATTCCTGCTCGATCTATTCGCATCGTTGTCTACGTGCAGAATATTTTGTCTCAATTTTTGCGATCAAACATTTTAAAATTACAAAAAAGAACATTATAGTTTCATTCACGATTAAATTGATTTTTCTAAAAAAATATTTGTTTCTCTATTATATTATTTTTTTCCTGTTTTTTGGTGTTGCTCTTAGCAGTTGTGTTTAGTAATAGTTGAGAGATGCGGTCGATATTCTGAAAAGATCATCAAATTCAATCGATGACGCAGCAGAGAGACAACGCAGTTGATCAATCGATATATTTTTTTTTTTTTTCGTCCTGTGAATGTTTGTCATTCTTCTTACATGAAACTTTGATTGTGTTTCAGCCAAGCCGCGTACCTTCTGCGACGAATTGCCGCGTGAGGTTTGGAGACGCTGCAAAGACGAGCTGCGCTGCATCAAGTGCACCAAACGGTACAGCGACTGGCGCAGTCTGCGGAAGCACATGAATTACTTCTGCCAAATGGAGCCTCTCTACCCCTGCCCGTACTGTTCCCACAGAGCCAGGTTACCCACCCTGTTGAAGTACCACGTTGTCCGCGAGCACGCGATTCATTGTTCTCGATGAAGAAGCAGTGAGCATCAAGTAAACTGTAAGACAGCGTTCTCGACAAATCTTAAAAAAATTTACAAAATTGTATCCTTTTTACGAAAAGATTAAGACGTTTGTAAATAATCTTGATTTTTTTAAATTAATTTTTATCTGACAAAAATTTTGCAAGAAGTCAGAGTGCTCAAGAGTGAAAAAGTGGCCAAATTAATTTAAGTCCGAATAAAAGAGATTGAAAAAATTATGTAAATACGCAGCTGTTACAGCACGGTATATTACATGCATAGAATATGGAAATTTAAATTAAGCTAGATATAAAGCATTAGATTAAAATTAAGATTTTAGAATTAGTTTAAATTACTTTAAGATCATTGTAACAGATGTCCCTTGTGTGGTTTCCCTGCAATTTCGTTTCAGATTTTTGAGAAACCGAGAATGCAAAAAATATACAGCTAATCTTTCGATTTGTTAAATTTTAATCATATATTATGTTCAATTATGAACGATAAGTTGTATAAAATCATTGTTATTTTGAATATAGAAACTTTCATTCATTTTAAACGTGTAGTTAAAACTATTATTTATGCAATCAAGTTGGACGAATTATTGATTATCATTGCGATTGATGAAATATCAGTAGTTTTTTGTAAATTATATTTAGAAATAATTTAACTTTTACTGTAATAATGATGATAATTATACTTGTTTATGTAATATGTTGGAAATATTATATATATATAATAATATTTTATAATATTAAAAATTTTTCTTAATGTTTTATAATATTAAAAAGCTGAATGTATAAAATTCTATATATATTTTTTACTACTATTGTTACATGTGCTCGTCAATGTGTTTATACAAAAGCAGACGTTACATTATACACGAAGTATCTTACGTATTTCTAAAATCATTCAATGATCGATGTGAAATTATTGCTATTTTATTTAGAAACACATTTGAGTAGATTAAGTTTTTTCGGATATTTTATATCCTATACTTTCGATAAAACCAAATGTAATTGCTATATATTTCTAAGTTGTACATTTTCGACAAAGAATTTTTTATAATTAATTTCGATTTGTCTTTGCCATTGATACAATTTATTAATGAAAATATCGCATTAATAAATATTTCCAGTTTTTATTCTTTACGTATTTTCTCTACAGATTTTATGTTAGTTTTGCTACGTTAAGAAAAAGAAATAAAAATCGTATGTTTTCCTATTTTCCATTTCCTCGTAAAAACTACGTGACGTGTTTATTCCGGTGCGACATGTGTTCCATTGTGCCGCTACGATTCTCTATGCGCACGGGAAGCTCTTGGACACAAATGATATCATTGTCGTATCACGCCTTTCGTTTCGTTTTTTTCCATTTCGCCGATTTTGATCACCATTCCTCTTCAAAGTGATTTTCATCTTTCTAACATCTTTAATTTGTCTAATTTGTAGGGGATGGCCTGGCGATGCAAGGTCCCAAAGATCTTGCGTACAACTCAGCAAACAAGTCCATCTTCGTGTGCTATAAGTGCGGCAAGGGCTACACGTCGAGGACGATTTTGTATCGTCATCTGAGCACTGTATGCGGCACACCGCTCATGCACCGCTGCAACGTCTGCGGATACAAGACCAGTCGCAAGGACGTTCTCTACAGGCACATACGACACGTGCATAGACCATAGTGGTACGAGGAGAAATGCGAGCTTTTCCGCGCCGGTTTTCAGACCGATTTCTTATCGTCGACTTCGCGCGTCGACTTTGAGACGCGCCGCAAAAGAAACGGTCGAAAAGATTTGCGCGATGTGCAATTTTTTTTTTCATCTGTGTTTAGTCGCATCGTGCGGCATGACGTAGCGGCAGGCTGTACTTTGAAGTGCATTTTGTAAGAGAATTATGACAATAAAAATTTTCCACGGAATTAAGCATGCAGTATTATAAGTAATTAAATAATGAGCTATTCTTTTAGCGAGTTGTGTTGAAATTTTTTGGATTTTTTTTTTGTCTTTGTTTAATTTAAACTTTGTTTTTCTAATTTGACTGTCTTATTTGTATTTTGTCAATGCCACAGGTCTCTTTGCAATTGTCTTTTATATGGCGAACACGGCTACATCGCAGCTCCCTTCGTTTGTTTCAGGCTGGAACGTGCGCGGCGACACGAATGACTCTTCTGTGAATTACGCGTACAAGCGATGCCCTTTCTGCAAGAAAGTATATTACCCGAGGAATTTGCTGAAGAAGCACATACAGTTCGGCTGCAAGATGAATCCACGCAATGCCGTGACGCAGTTCTCTTGCACCTTTTGTCCATACAAAAGCATGTATAAAGCCAACATGGAGAGACATGTGCGAAATGTTCACAACACCGGCGTCGTCAAATTTCGCTGCGAGCTCTGCAACTTCCGCAGTAATTATTCTTTCTGCGTTCGCAGACATATAAAAACCTTTCATCACTCGACAACAGACGAATCTAAGCAGTAGAAAGTAATTACTTTCCTTCCCAATTTTTTTTTTATTTTATCCCCTACGTGAAAAATAATCGGTAACAGAACTTATGTTATCATCGTGGGAGTTATTATGTATCTCTTTAGAAATGTTTCCAATTGGTCTTGATACCAAATGCCATTTGTAACTAGTTATTTTATTATAATTTTCGAAACAATAGATGATCTTATTTTTTCTATATCGTTGATTTCAATATCTCTCTGAATTATTAATTACATTTTTACTCCAAATAAATAATTTATAGTTTTACGACGACAAGTCTTTTTAGCAGACTCAACACCATTGACGTAATATATTTACCTCTATATTTTAAGACTCAAGATTAATTATCTTTTATATGAATATAATGTGGAATAAATTAATAGTAATTTAGGCGTAATATTATTTTTTATTTAGTATGCGTAGTTCAGATGTCGATGGAATTGAAAAGGTTCTGATGATGTAAAATCACCACCAAGAATAGAAGTATAAATTAGCGATTAATATTCAATTAGATATAAATTCGTCTTTTTGTTCTCCTACTATTAGTATTTAAATTTAATATACGTAAATCATAAGTTACATATTTTTATTTTACAATAAGTTCCTATTCATTGAAGCATAATGATTTTTTTTTTTAATCCAAGGCACATGTAATGCACATGTGTTTCACTAATTTTATCTTTTTAATGTTTGTCTTCTTGTCATTCTTATCATAAAATTTTATTTGACAAAACAAAGTCAGTTGCCCATTAACAAGAGAATTCTACGATTGCAATTGTGTGATGCAGAATTAGTAGACTGCCTCGATATATCGATCACTCAAGGTTTCTAATAATTTTATTCACAGAAAATGCCTCTAAAATTCAAGAGAGAAGAGGGGAGAATTTTGTAGTGAACTTAGATTAGTACATATATGATAATGCATTTTAAATTGTCACAATATGTAATTTTAATGATACGCAATTGCAGATGTAAGTCCTTTGTAAATTTAGATATGAAAAGTATGTGTGTGCGTGCGCGCGTATGTGTGTAATTTTATTCAAAAGACAATGTTTTTTAAAACTCACTATACGTTATCAAACATTTTTTAAATATTCTTCTTTATATCAATTGCAATCGAATTATTTTTTTAACTAACATCGCATTATTTTATCCATCAAGATTTTATATTTTTGATGTGGCCGCATTTCTATTCTTCAAGGTACGAAAAGTACACCATATAAAAATTCGAATAATTTTAAAGTCCAATAACAATCGAGAAAATCATTCTTTGAAATCTTAATAGAGCAATTGCGTTTACATCGGAAATGTAAATCGACTTACTTCATATGCGAACCAGATATTATTATATTTATTGTTAACCGCAGACCTCTTTAATGCTTCTGAAAAAATCCGAGAAAGGGAAATTGTTATTCCTTTTGTGCATCGAGCTTGCTCTCGCCGATGTCTATATCGGTGTATAATTGCGTAACATTTGTGATAAATAAAAAGTTACGAGCGATGTGCGCTTGTTACTTACTTTTCCTACCAGAGTATTTCTTATTTTTGGTTTGAGGTATACAATGCTTGGGCCTGTTTTGGAGTTTCTAACGTTGCATCGAGGAATACATACATTGTAACGCAATAAAAATGTAAATGATAAAATAGAATGTAATATTTTTTTATGAAATTGATATAATTTATCTTATTATGACATCGATTTTGACGTTGAACAGGCAGTTGAATTTATATTCCGTTTTTATTGTAATTAGAAAAGAATTATTTTTAATTCTTTTATTTACTATCCTCGTAATATTTGTTTCACCTTTCTCGCAATACCTTCACAAAATATATTTAAATTTTAAGAATATTAATAAATATTTTATTACATACAATTTCCAAAATTTAATTTTTAATTAATTATAAAATATCTTTCATAAAATTTTAATAAGTTTGAACAAAATGCATTAAAATTTGTATAAAGTGTTTATTGTAATAGCTTGTTGTCTCTATTAACCGACTTGATGTTATTGTTTCAGCATTAATGGTACACATATTGTTTTCCTTCAAAAGTGAGAGAGTGATCGACAGGACACCAGCGGTAACGAAACTTTGCACCAGCAGCAGAAAGATACAATCAGATCGACATATATGCACTAATTGCAACAAAGGTTACACATTAAAGGAAAACCTCCAGAAGCATTAAATGTTAGAGTGTGAAGTCTGAATTCAGCTACGAAGAAAGGCACAACAAGCGCCGTAAGAAGAATCGTGAGAAAAGCACCGCCTAAAATAATTTTCGACTAATTAATCTTCGCATCCCCGACGAGCAATTCGAATGTTGTCATTTGAATATTTACTCGAAATGATTTTTATCAAATTATCCTAGCAGTATCAGTTGTATTGACAATTTTTCCGTCGCCGAATGACGCCATCGGTATCGATTTATCGTCTTGAAGTTCCTCTGAAAATTTATATTCGCCAGATATGCTTGCGCCTGAGATTGTCGATTGCCTTTATTAACCGATTTGATGTGGATGTTTCAGTTATGCGGCCTTACAAGATGATGTACGTCGGCGAAATGCATGATAAGATCTTCGTATGCATGGACTGCGGCAAGAGCTACGCGGTGAAGAGATCTCTCTGGAGGCATCGGAAATTCGAGTGCGTGAACTCGAAGCCTAAATTCAGCTGCGAGGTGTGCCCGTATAAGAGCCCGCACAAATGGTGCATCGACAAGCACAGGAAGAAACATCACGGCAATTTTTGTAATCGCTTTTCGATTAGTTAAAATTATTATAATTGTCGCACTAGTAATCCGGCCTAGGGAATTATTTTCACAATAAAATGACTGTTTTATTTATATTTTATAATTTACCTATCAATATAAAGTTGCCATTTGTTTTACTTTTATACCAATTTTATGATCGATTGTGTCAGTATAAAAAGATGCATTTTCGTAAAAAAACATACGTACTTAAAGGATTTGATCATTAATAACTATTATATTACTGAACTATTAAAGGATTTTTTGTGGCGTCGTGTAGATTAATTTTGTTTTTTTTAATAGCGTCGTTATAGCTTTTTGTAAAATGTACGAGAAAGTAATCTATTTATATAGAACTTTTTTTATTTTAAAAATGTCATTATCATAAGAATATTAAATATCTAATGTGATATATTATTACAATATATAACTATAAATATATGAAATAAAATTCTGTGACATTCGAAAGAAAATAAACCGAAGACTTTTTTGTAATAGATACTAAGTTCGTTATTTTGTTGAATTTCTCGTTTTTTTATCGAATCTAAAAAAAATTACACAAAATTTATATGAAATTCTTTCTATTATAAAATAAAAGTAACGAAATGTAAAGGTTATTTTATCAAAAATTTTTAATTCTTCAGGTATATATTCACCAGCGATGAGTGAGGATATCTGAGGAGAAAATCCAGGCGTCGAAAGCAAAAATTGAAAAGTTGCAAGAATGCAGAACAGAGACCAACGTCCCTTTTCTGCACACAAAAAGATTTTTTTTTGTTCGGTTAATTATCGGATACTTATTTTTTTCAGGAAAGAAGAAGACATGTCTTTAAGATTTTACTTAACAAAGTATAATTTTAGATTATTTATTAAGGAAAAAAGGACATACGATTAGAATATGTAGTAATATAAAAGATTTTGAAAGTTAATAGATTTAAGGCGCGAAAGACTTTCGGTTTAATACTTGAATTTTAGTCGCTAAGTTTTCTGGCGAACTGTATCCTTAAGATATATATATCGAAGAGTGAATTAATATTTGTATATATTATTTCAGCAATGAGCGCTTTAATAGAAATATGTTTGGCAGCTTGGTAAATTGACTTCTAATCCTTCCGATCCTGATCTTCAGACTCCTCTTTAGAATCTATGGAGTAGTAAACCTTGTGTGACTTATTTGCAAAGTTTTTTGAGCTTTCGTTGATTTTTAAGATGGCTTTCGAGTTTTGAAGGAACTAAGCTTTCGGAAAGTGCAACTTTCCGATCTTCTCGCGGCAAGAAATATTCGTCTGAGATAATTCATGAGAATCCTAAGTTTGATTTATGAGATTTCGTCAATTTTATCGGACACGTGCGCGAATTTATAATATGCAACAATTTGCGAAAAATATTTTGTGATTCTTTCGTGAAATTGTCGATTATTATAATCGCTACAAGATGAAGAAGGTATGTTGCGATGCAGATACCTTTTTTTTAATCTTACGAAGAAGGATATGCCAATCATTCGAATTTTCTTTAACTCATTGATTTTCCATTCGAAGACTATAATAAATTTGCAAACACAAAACGACATATCTCATAAGTCGGACTTAGTGCTACTCTAAATACCCGCGAGTGCTTTCACCGTGACTCTATCCTGATATTGTTGTTTTTTTTGTTTTTTTTTGTTTGAATCCTTTCTGCGAGGCTTGTACGGCGCAGCTGACTTTCGCTCAACTGACTAACTTAGTCTCTCTGTTTGCAGCTTACCGGAAGATGTACATGGGCGATCAGGTCCTCGGCTACACCTGCACCATGTGCAGCAAGTTCTACAAGATGTGGAGCAACTATCTGAAGCACAAGTGCGAGCCGCCGCAGTTCAAGTGCCCGCTGTGCCCGTTCGCCGCCTTTAAAGCTTTCATCCTGCACGCCCATCAGGCCGAGCAGCATTTTAAGGTCACCTCGCCGAACACATAAAATCGACGCTGCGGACCGGGGAGGAATTGTTGAATTGCCTTAGTCGTCGTTATGATTCTTCGTGGCTAGTGTGCGCCATGTTGTCGTAATTGTCAACTCGAGGACTTGCAGCTCCGATAAAGAAGATCTATGAGCGACTCGGTCCCGAGACCTCGACGACCGTTTTCTAAGTAGTCTTTCCGATTAGAAATCCCGAGGAAGCGTCCGAAGAGTATATTTTTCGTAAACTCCCGTAAGCTCGTAAGCTGCGATGACGATAAGGTAGTTCTCGAGGGATTATTGTAGCTCGACGTATTGCGTTAATTAATAACCAGCGTTCGTCGGCGCGTTTTGTCACGAGACGGAAGAAGAATCAGATCTCACAAATGGACGGTGCACGTGCATTTCGAGATGACGCGGGAACCGAAATTTATGTCATTTGTAGTATATCTTTTTTCTTCGTAACATTTTATCACATAATCACGTAAGTATAATAGCGCTGAGACCGAAGGTACAGAAATATAATGCAAGGAATTCGTATCTCAATTGAACGAACGGTATATTCTAATTTAAACTCTAAAGGGAAAAAGACTGAGCGACAATAATAAGGCTTACGAGATGCGCGATCACGTTTGCCTCGTGCTTTTTGCAAACAAATATTATGCAGCTCCCTTGTGATCAAGGATACAATATTAGAAAGTGTTCATCCTGCTTCATCGGAAAGCCAAACATAGTGGAAAGAATAAAATATACTATGAATGAATATTTTATCCATCGAGAATGAGTGCTTGGATCTGACGATAAATATTGTTGCCAATACTGTACACGATCGATTATCGCTGCATATATCAATCTCGAAATTTTATTTCGGCAAATGCCAGCCGCTTACACACGATCATAAAGATACCGCATAATCCGTAGTATTTATAAATGCATGTATTTTCGTAATACCAACAATAAAGTGTCAAGAAAGTGTTAAAAGCAAAACGTGAGTCTCATTTTTAGTTGGCAAGGCAGCAAACTGTTACAATGATTTTTTTTCTCCTAAAAATAGTCCAGCGGTCCCAAAACTAGAGCTTTACTGTAACAACGAAATCCATATTTTGGAAGAAAAAATAAAAATAAAACTTTCCCTTACTCTAAAATTCGACAAATATACGTTTATCGGAAACATATTTTTCACGAAGTTTTTTAAATGTTTATTTTTGTCAGTGTAAAATTTATTTCATCCATCGGTGCTTTTTTTCTAGAACGGTTTATCTACTGAATATGAACCCTCTCGAAATTTTTCAGGCTGTGAGTTACTAACAAACGATTAAATGTGTTTTCTGTTTCAGATCGGCCGAAGGATTCGACTAAACAGCACGATCTCAGCGAGCTACTCGGTACGGCACAAAAATGCGCACAAAATGCTAATGTCGATATTGACGCATTTGTGAGGGCGAGAGTATTGTTGATTGTCGCGAAATGTCAAGACGACTATTCAAAGTGGCGCTCTTCCTTCCGTTTCAGGTTTGCACAAGTGCGGCGAGTGCAAGAAAGTATACAGGTCGCGGATGGCGCTTAACCGGCACGTGCGAGAGGAGTGCGGCAGAATCTTATACACTTGTCCGTACTGCCACAACGTGATGCCGATGAAGTTCAATCTGTTAAATCATCTGAAGAAGGAGCACGGTTGCTAAGATTTAATCATCGGCAATGAGAGAAACGACTCTGTTATCCACTTCGCGATCGCCTTCATCAACGTTAACGCTTTTCTTTTACAAGCAAATGAATATTCTAAAATTCGACAATTGTTGTATAACATCACGTTTGTTTGCAACATTGTAAATTATTAATACTTTATAATACTTGTGTTCAAATTGTGTTCCATTGTTGTAATGTTGAAAATGGTTTGAAGGGTCAGACTTTATGCCGTATATTTGAATAATTTATAAAAATTCGTATCTTTTAGCACTTATTTCTGTCCAAAGTAAATTTATTGTTCTAATATTAACGCAAATATGTGATGTTAATAGATTATATTGTTATATAATTATGTAGGCAATACCCCCCGTAAAATCCTGTTTCTCGACGATAGAATGTTATAAAGATTATAAGGGGTATAAATGAAAATATTGAATGTTAATATGTTATATATGTTTATGATAGATTTTTGTCACATATATATCTTTCTTTGATTTCCATTATACTTTTTATCAAAATGGGCAATCTCTTTTGTTAAGTTTTGCAATTTACGAAATAAATTGAAAATTGTTTAACAAAATACGCTTTAATTTATTGTATGTCTGATATAAAATGTAGAAAATTATACGGCAGACTGACTTTTAATTTTCTAAATTGAGAAGATTATGCGGTGCCAATACTATACGCAATATCATTTTCATTACATTATAACATTTTCCTTATAAAATGCTTCTTGTAAAAATTGACACTTGTTTCTAATATCATCATTTATATTGAGCATTGAAGCAAAATATATTTTAAAGGCAAATTTTTGGGAAATTGAAGGTTTAAATAAACGCAAATACGCAGTGTTCGGCATTCTTAAAAAAAGAAAAAGAATTTGTTACAAAAATCTTGTGCTTATAAAGATAAAAAGTCTATGCTTATAAAAATAAATTTTGTTTATAAAAAGTTTCGAAAGGATTATTAATTAAGCAGCAAATACTCATATAATAATTATATGCGTCGCTTTTTCTAAGATTAATAACAAGAAATTTACTAATGATTGCATGAAAGTTCGCTGTTCGTCATAATTTTATATTTTGCTTTCGCATTTATTTCACGCGCTTATCCTATTTTAATCCTTAAAAATTGTCTGTATGCCGAAGAAAGACTAAACCGTCAGCAGAATAGAATGACAGTAACATGTGAAAAGATATACTTTCTAGATTTATTGTGGAGAGAGAAAAAGAAATTTAGGTTTTCCGCGTGTATTCCTTTCTTCTAATGTATTTTTACGAAGCAAACATTAACAGGCAGGCACAAGAGGATAATTTTGGTCGTTGATATTCAACTTTCAGCTATTTGACATTAATTTTGATGCTAATCTGACACGAAATATTTTCGCGCAGAATGAAGACTGATTCTAAATAAAATTTTGGCACCAAAAATTGTCGAAAATGGAAGTTTTGAAATATTATTTACAATTTTATATCACATCTTTGTTAACTTTTTTTCATTATTTAATTAGTGTTTTTGTAATACACTGTTATGCTAAATGAAAAGAATAATCCAATATTCAATTAATTTCCAAATGCAATATGTTGTACAAATTGCTAAATATTTTTTGTTATTGTTACTAATTGTGAAAAACGTGTTTGAGAAAAATAGAATTAATGCTTTGTGTAAATCTTTGCGAAATAATTTTGAAGTACATAATATTTTTTGTATGTATTATTTATTTTTATTATTTTTAATGTGTTATTTATGTTTATTATGTATGTGATATTTATGTGTTTTTAATTATTTCTTGATGAATACCAGCGACCATTGAAACGAAGAATAAAGCTGAGCGATTTGTATTAACATAGCTATGTGATTTTTCTTTGCAGGCAGTCTTCATCGAAATCAAGCGATCTCTCAGTACATGTGCAGCATCTGTGGAAACATGTACGTGTATCACAGCTCGTTGCAAAGACACGTGAGGGAGGAATGCGGAAAACCACCGAAGTATCAATGCCTGTACTGCCCAAAGAAATCCAAGTTGCGATGCAATCTGTTGAAGCACATGCGATCGCAGCACAACAAAGATTTGATCGCGGACGAAATCTAAATGCGCGAGGTTCATAAGAACTTATCTACGGTTACTCAATAGCTCTGGGAAACAATATAGTCCATCTTTCCAGCTCTTTGAAATATATAAATGCGTTATATATAATGATAAGTTCAATAATTCCTGTGATATCTATGCAGCTATTATGTGTCTATTCGAAAGCGGTTTCGATCGGAATAATTCCAATTTTTGTTAATTATCCTGTTATGAATAAACGAACGACAATTCCGACACCTCATGAGCAACTGGAAAGTTCGATTTCGATTGAAATAATTCAAAGTCAATTTTTATCACAATGCTTAGATTTTATAATTAAGTTGTTACAATGGCGAATACTGAATTTTAAAAAATTTGTTTTAATTATATACCTTGCGTTTTTCTTCACAGCAAATAAATTCCGTAAAAAAAATAAATTCAGTTCAGCGGATTTCAATGAGACTCATAATAGCTCGAAGACAGAAATGAAAATGGGAGTTTTTTCGATGTTTCGCGCGTTTAGTGTGTTCAAGCGTCATTAAGCGTTTTAAATAGAAATCACTCATTTCTCTAATGTAAGGCGTACATTGTACTATAATATACACTTTGACGTGATTTCGTATATAATGGCGCATATAATGACACTGTGAACGCATTGTAAATAAATATTTGAAGTCTGATGTAGGTCTGATACCAACCTTAAGATTTGAAAATTTTATTTTAAAGGCTTGATTAAAGTGCCAAATGATGCCTAAAGAAAATGTTGCGACAACATTATGTTCACTTTAATTGTTCTATGAAGAAAATAATTTTGTTAAACGTTTTTATTAAAAATCTATATAATTAATTCACATGCGAAATATATATTATAAACATAATTCTTTGTATTGCTATATTTCATTAATTGCTAAATTAAAGCAAAGAATTGAATGTCCACAATAACTTCTCCCGATTTATCATTACACTGTTTCTATCGTTTGAACTACGCAATCGTATTCAGTATGATTTATTAATTAAAAAAAATTGATTAACTTATTGTACATACTTGTTTGTATTATATCTGTTTAATTCTACGATCCAGATAATCGACATCTATTGAACGAAAGAGATTAAGTTATGTACATGGAAGGAGAGGTGCTATGAGAATTAAAAATTGAGCCGAGATCTGCTCGTGCTCGTCCGAAAGACATCAATGTTTCCTGCGTGTCCTAATCGAAGTCGCTGACGGGTCTACGTGTTGTTTTCTTTTTCAGACACCTGCAACACTTGTCTGGCCTGCTCGAAGACGTACAAATGGAAGAAATCGCTACATCGACATATACGCGAGAGCCCGGAGTGCTGGCCGGTTCTCCTCATTTCTGGCAACGGCGAATTTATTCGGCAGATTCAATACAAGATGATGTACAATACCAACAAGTGAATGTCGAGTGAAGAATTAACGAAGACGATCGGAATCGCACATGAACTCTCTTTCTTGTTACATTTGTTAATTAATATTTGTAAATATTTTTTATAAGAATAAATGTTTTATTCTAAATATAATATAATTTTGCAATGACTGTGCTTTATACTCGTTAAGGAGCACAAAATAACAAGTGATACTAGTCGCTAATGATTAGTTAAGCGACGATATAACGTATTTTTTGTTCGAGACTTTATTAATATACCGCTTAGAGAGAAAATTTAAAAGTACATTAACACTTCTATATATATATGGATATATATATGTATCCATACATATAAAGAAAGAGTAAACTTTCAATTTTTATTATTTTGTTAATATATTTTGGATTTATTTTGTTGATGATATAAATCTGAAAAAAAAACAGGTGCTATTTTTCCATTTATTCCGTTTATTTGTTGCACATGTGAATTCATTTGAGATTCTGATTTTGTTATGTCATTATCTGCAGAACGATTTTTTAATATTCCTGTTCTTTCAAGAATTCCCACTCCTTCCGACACGTTATCCTTTTTTTAGACATCATTTTCCTCGAAGAAACATTTTGATTGATACGATGATTTTTCACAGATTACCGCCGAGCTTGGAGCAATTTGTGCTATCTTTACGTTTAGCGAATTATTATGTGACGTAAGTATATTCCTTTAGTAGATGCAGATCTCCTCTCCTCGTCCTAAATCAACGATCCAGGACTAAAGCCGTTTCACCGAAAATTCAAGTAGCTGAGTACATATTCTACACGATCGTCGCTCGTAGATCGTCAGAGCAGATACTAAGATGTCGCATGCGACCCTCTGTTTCAGGTCGTTCCGAGGCCGTCGTTGTCGTCTTCAAAAAGCCTTTTCCCTGCATGTACTGCGAGCGCAGCTACAAGAACAAGAGCTCGCTGAATCGCCACTTGCAGTACGAGTGCGGCAAGGAGAAACAGTTTATTTGTCCGATTTGCCGAAGAAGATTGATCCAGAAGAGCAGTCTGCACAAACACTTGCTCGCCGTTCACGGGATTTGACCGTGATAAAAAAAAAAAAGACAGAGAAACCGTTTATTCTTTTTTTATTATATATATATATATAAAATTGTTTTTTTTATTGGGACATCGACAAATAATGCAGTGCAAGCAGAATATAGACTATACTCTCATCGATTTTGTTATTTCATTGTTTCGCCCTCACGGATACTTTGATTTGTGTATAATATACATAAACGTCGATACACTCCTTTCCCATGTACATGTACACCTGTATACATTTAATTGTTATATATATCGCGTTTTGTGTTATATAAATTTTCTCCAGCATACAGAAGAATCATTTTCATTGATCTTGTCTCACTGGGTCAATATACCGCGAAATCGTTTTCACTTCGCGTTGCATTCTGTTTTTGGGTATTTTGTTTGAAGGGTTGGAAACTGGTGTCCTCTCAGTCGAGAGGGGAAAGCTGGAGCATGAGGAGGGGCTATGCGCAAAAGTAAATCTTAACGGAGTCCGATCGTTGACATCATTGATTTGTGTTTTGATTTCTGTCGCGAATCGCCAATATACTTTCAAATTGCGTAAAAGAATGTTTTTGAGACCTCCTCTTTGTTCGTCGTTCCCGTCTCGTGCAGTTTATTTCACGCCTCTTCACATTAGACTCATATCCTTGGCAAAATTTGTTCCTGGGCGCATCTATCTTCGGGGCTATTGGCTGATACATTGTGTGTTGGGTTGGTTACGGGTTTTAATCTCACTGATCTCTGCCAATCGCACATTCATACATCGACGGAACGCCCCTTGTCTTCCCCCCTTTTTTTTGTCCTCTTTCGTTTTCGTCGTCGTCCAGTAAAATCACACGATGTGCATTGCGACATTTCTACGGTTCTCGAGTCAAATCATGCTTGATCCGTGGCAAAGATATTTCACAAAAAACGACCAAGTTCGGAGTCACGAGTTCCTATATATGAGTTAAAGTGTTTTCTAAAAAAAAAATCCAACAATTATGACGACAGTGAGATAACTTCGCCATATATTTACAAGCATGATCTTGACGAGACAAACGTCGAACTCGACACGCGGAATCGGCGGAAACGTTAATTCTTGCACACGTTGAAATTCTATATTTTCGCCGATACCGCGTGGAGCAGTGAGGATGTCGTGCAAACCGTGCGACGAAGCGAGCGAGCGAGCCAACTGTATCTTCTTCAAAGATTTAATCTCTTTACCACCTTCGCGCCCCCGTCGGCGCTGGGTCCTTGTTACAGAAATGGGTGCGCTGTTGTCTCTTCTACGTTGTCCTTCCGATTATAAGCCAGCGACCAAGAAGGGCCACCGTGCATCCGCGCCGACGATGATGACGCGGGCCAACATCGCCATGGCGAACAGGCGCTTCAGCAACAACACCGGCGGCGACAGCAACAGCTACGACGACGGAAGCAGCGGCGGCGGCGGCGGCGGCGGCGGCGGCGGCGACACGGCGTCCGCACGTGAGCTCGTATTTCCAGACTCGTTCGAGGTGCTGCCGCAGCCGCACGACCCGAGGCATTTCGTCTACATGGCGGGAGTGCACGAGCAGCAGCGCAAGTTCCGTTGCCGCTTCTGCGGCAAGGGCTACCGCTGGAAGAGCACGATGCGTCGCCACGAAACGGTGGAGTGCGGTGGCAAACCGCCGGCCTTCCAATGCCCGGAGTGTCCGTACAAGGCGCGACAACGCGGAAACCTAACCGTGCACTTCAAGCGGCATCACCAGAAGAACTACGACGAGAACGCTTAGAAGATCCCAACGCCACGCGCGCGTTGTAGACTTTCTCGCTGAGGAGCGATTGTCGTGCGCGGACGCTCTCGAATTCGCGGCTTCTCTCTTTCCGACCCTTGTAAAGGACGATTTGCGTTTCGCGTGATCGCGATTCTAAACGATTTTGCGAGCTGAACGCGTTTGCGCAAGATTCTTGATTCATGATTTAACTGTAAAAATTTGTATTCTTCGTAATGTCAAAATTTTTTTATCTTTCCTACTTCTGAAGTATTTTAATTCGTGTGAATATTTATCTTCACTTTTCCAATCAAGTTTTAGAGGCACGATATTTGAACAATAGCATGTTTCAAATATCTGAGGAAAGTAATCGCACTGTATGATGGAACACGCGTATATCACATTCGGTATATTTGGATTTTTTCACTTTTATTCTGAAATAACACGGTGCCTGTGGAGTTAAAGTAAAAAAGCTGTTTGTGTTAAATCGAACATAAGATAAAAAATATTTTCTATTTTTACGGAGCTTAATGACACATTTTATAATCTTGCCTCACTACTGTAGATCTGTTAATCTTTAAAGATACTATTGCAAAGTATGCCACTGAGGCGTGTCAGTTTTTTAGAAATTGTGCAGACTTTGAAGAAATATCTTGAAAATATTTTTCTAGAATTTTATATTTTTCACAGAACCTCGACGAGAATCCAGCATTTTCACGCGCCTCGCATTCGATTTTTGTGCGAAATTTTACGAAGACCCGTAATCTCATTTTTAATTAATTAGTTAATGCTAAATGTAACCGTCCGATTTTAAATTTTATTTTTTAACAGGTAGATCATATTCGATGTTAATGTGAGATAAGAAATCGATAGAGCCGTTCAGAAATGCGCGGCGAGAATACGGGCCAAAGCGTTTGAATTTATTTGTAAGACGATGGGTTACTTAAGGAACTTAAAGATACATTATTGGTTTAATTTTATTTGTTGGGGTTGGTGATAAATTGTAGTTAGTAGCTCGCGTAACTTTATTGCTTTAATTCGTATGCTAAGCTCACGTGATGACATTTCCACCGCCGATCGATCGAGAATACTACCGTTAAGGAATGCAGTATAAATTATCGTTGCGATTTTACACGACCATATTGCTGAAGAGATTTTACACGACCATATTGCTGAAGAGATTTTACACAGATTTTGGCAATCGAACGATCAAGGCAGTCCGGAATTTGTTTTTCAAAAATTGCGAATACATTCCAACGATCACATTGATCGAGTTTTATGTAACTTGTATTTCGAATTTTATTTCAATTTTTTTTTTTTTATATACTGACCTAGAAAATAATGTTTGTGAGAGACACGGGGGAGCTTTTTTTTTTTTTTTTTTTTCTTCAAAAATTGAAAAAGAAAAACGTTGCTTGACAAAATTGTATTCATAATTTACACGGGACGCGATGTTTTTGATAATCCAATCGAAAAAAGGTGGTTCGCATAATGCCAGAGTAAACAGCGGAAACGGTTCGTAATGTCATCGGTGTAATTTAGGTCTTTAAGCCTCCATCGATTAAATTCGATTTCGTTCGAATGATCGACGAGAATTCCCAAAGTGCCTTCCACGAGAAATCAACAGCCGGGGATGCGAGTCGGAGTCGCGTATTCGTTTTTACTGGTGATGTTCGCGAAACAATCTCCGGAAGATTGGTTACCTGAGAGCACTTAGCCGCTTACAATAGACAATAATTATCTGTTCTTCCAGATTCGCGTGCTCGCGATCGCGGATACGAACGTTAGAACGGTTTATATATACACTAGAGATTACTGTTGATTCGCCCGAACCAATGTTAGCATTTCTGACGTGTGTCGCTGAAGTAAACCAACGAATAGCAAGAAGATTTCCGCTACATACCCGACAAAGTACAAAGATTCGCATTTCGCAATCACTTCAACGCGCGTCTCGAACAGCGTAGGGAAGACTACAGCTATACAATCTTAGCAAATTATTCGACCGTAATTTTTGCCGCTCCTTCACAATTTTTTAAGGAGCTTAACGAGCAGCTCATATCTTAATGAGGATCGTTTGATACGTGATCTTCGATTATCGCCGTCGCGCATAGAAAGCTACAATTTTACGATTTCATTCTTTGACACATTTTCCGCGGCCTGATTGCTCGGGCGTAATTCTAAGGATTGCGATAATTGGAGAGCACGGCGATCACGTCCGACATATCATGTAATGTTAAGGACCACTTGTACCTTTAGGCGAATTTACGAGCGCAGCCTTGTTGGGGCTCGAACGTGCAAACGGGTCGATCTTATGATCTTAACAATCGTCGTGTGTCTCGTTATGCATAAATATATTGAATCTAGTGAATCAAATATGAGATATTATGTGTGTAATATAATATGTTATAAAAATTATAGATGTATCAGGCTCTGGTGATTAAAATCAATAATATTCGAAAGGAGCGTAAAGAGCCAACAGCCGGTTATTCGTGCGAAGGTTATCGTATATTAGCTTTTAACCATTATTACATTTACATTAAAACATGTTTTAATGTAAAACATGTTTTAATGTAAATGTAATAATGGTTAAAAACTAATATACATTTTAATATACGTTTTAATGTAAAACATGTTTTAATGTAAATGTAATAATGGTTAAAAGCTAATATACGATAACCTTCGCACGAATAACCGGCTGTTGGCTCTTTACGCTCCTTTCGAATATTATTGATAATATATTATATTACATATATAATCTGTCATTACTGATATACATATTACATATGTATATGTCTGTTATTACTAATATTGTTATATATTATATATCAGTACTATATATATCATATATTATAACAGTATAATACTGTTATCTTGTTTGTCACCAAGAAAATTTACAAGCATTCTTTACATGCAATCACGATTTTCGGTACTTACATTTCACTTTTGCATCTTTCTTCATTTAATACGGCTGACAGTATTTAATACACACAATTTTCCAGATCGACGAGATCGACCAGCTTGACACGTCACACAGGACCATACTCATAGGATTATACGGATGTTTTTTCCATTTTTTATATGCATATACACGTTTATACATACATATTATATAGAAATACATACATAGGGTGTCATGGAATTATCGCGATTCCTTTCATTTGCGGACTCTGACTCGTATTTTGCCATTAAATTTTCAGTACCATCAATACCTGTGAATTTTTAATTGTAAGTTGCTTAATACGCAGAGATTGGATCTCCATAATCTTCAGATTTAAGGCTCCTGGGCTCGCCGCGGCCATGTTGGCAATCGTGGCGTCAGAGGCGAGGGATTACACGCTGAGAATTCTTGCGTGCCATTTTTAAATAAAAAGATATTTTGATGAAATAATGCGATATGAATCGTATCACATTCATTTTATGGTTGTTTATTAACTGTTAAGGGAAAAGCGTAGTTTTTGGACAATTTTACAAGTGTGCTAAAGCGATCTATAATGTTATTTCATCAAAATATCTTTTTATTTAAAAATGGCACGCAAGAATTCTAACGTGTCATTTCTCGCCTCTGACGTCACGATTCAACATGGCGAGTATCCAGGAGCCTTAATAAATCATAAAACTTCAGATAATTTGAAATAAATTTCTAGCGCAATAGGAAATTAAAAATTTATTTATTACAAAAAAAGAGTTCAAAGAGCAAAAGACGGCAGTAAGAACGAAAAGAACGCAGGTGTTGATGCGTGAAAAACAATTTATCGACAAAAGAATAAAAACGAGGGAGAACGGTAAGAAAAAATGTTGTCAAATCTTCATCGAAATCTTCATGAAAATGGTTTCGTATTAATTAGAGAATCCGCAGATGCCGAAAGAAATGGTGATGGTTTTGGGGTACATATAAACAGACACGCCGGGTGAAAGAGAGATACTGAGAAAGAGAACGAAAGTAACGTTGAGAGTCGACGCACGTCCGGCCGTGGAACGCGCGTTAGTATTTTTGATATCAGTATTTGCGAACACGCTCGCGTCTTTACCTGCCTGCCTGCCTGCGAGACGACGCAGGTTATACTCGTTGCATCTTTACCCATAGCTCTTGACCTCATGATCTTCATCATGGGTGCCAGTCCGATCCGGCGGCTGTTCGCCACTGCGTAGTCGATCGGCCGCGATCGACCTCATTATTTCGAGACTCTTGTTACCGAATCCTTATCGCTTAATATTTAAGTATGCGTTTTACATATTTTTTTCGTCAACTTTTTTTTTCCGTCTCTCTTTTTAGTCCTCGTTTAAGGTTTTTCACATCGTATCGGGCAAGAAGGGAGCGATCTGAACTACGTCGCGCTCCGTCCCTCTTCGTTGCACCGCAGTACCTTCAATATTTAACGCTCTGTCTTCTTTATCTTCTACTTTTTATTTGGAAAGGTTTATCAAGCGAATTAAGAATTATTATTATAATAATTATCAGTAAATAATTAATATTATAATTCTTATTATTATTAATATTATTAATAAAGAGACAGTCTTTATTGCGGGTTATTTTCTAAAAGTCGACGTGTTTGTTCTTTTTACCCGAAACTCACCTCTCACTCTTTATTAGTGATAACGATTTTGTGCATTATTTCTTCGGAAATCTCTCTGGCCATTGATAATTTTATGGCGCGACATGATACCGTATTTAGAACATTGACAAAATTGAAGAGCTTCTTGCAAAAAATTTGTTTCTGATACCTTAGAGAGTTAAAAATAGTTTAAAAGTATTGTAGAACTTTGAAAAACATCGTGAAGTATCACACTGAGCAAGAATCGCGTCAATACATTACAAATCAATTGAAAGTTTTTCAAATCTCGTTTAAAAAGCACATTGATGATATTTGTATGAAATATCTTTTCAGTCTTTTTGTGGTTTTTGTGGTTTTGGTGGTGTGCTGTTCTGATACGGATTTTTTTCACGTTTTTTCATCATTTTCATCATTTTATATTGTTAAATAAATGTTTGTCATTGCGACAAGTAAAACACTAAAAATAATATCTCGTATTGCAAAACATTATAAATGTGAAAAGCAGAGAATCACATTAAATACATTACGTTAAAACGTAATTTAATAGCATAACCAGAAGCACTAATTCTTAAAATTATTTTGTTATCGTAGAATGCAAATATAAAGCAAGCTTCCTTTTTTTTCTCTGTTTTTTTAGTTTATTCACGTTCCTGAATTTGCGAGCCATGATTATCTTTCTCTAATGACACAATCAGCATTTTTAAGATATCATTCTAACCAATGAATATTTGTTTTCAGCTATCTATCACCAACTCGCTGGCGTCATCCAGACATACCCGTGTGACACCTGTGGCAGGCAGTATCGAAGAATGATCACTCTGCAGCGACATAAGAAATTAGAGTGTGGCAAGGAAGCACAATTCGAGTGTACGATATGTCAAGCGAAATTCAAGCACAAGCACAGTCTACAGAGGCATTACAACGTTCACCAAGATAACGTACCAGAGTCGCTTTCGAAAATGAGAACTTCGTTTAACAGACGAATTGGCAAACGTCCATACAGACAAAGAACGCAACGATGGCGAGACAATAGACATTCTCGAACTGCTGAGCAGTTTCGAATTCCGAATACACACACAACAGAAATATAAGATCGATACAGAACAAGTAATTTTATTTGCTTTATTTGATATGATATCGAAGCAAAAATATTCAAAAATTAATCACCAAAATATTAACATTACGAATTAATCATAAAATAAGAAAATTATATTAATATTATTAATAACTTTTTGTTATTTTAATTATTGATTTAATTTGAATATGTACATTTATAAATTATTAATATATTTAATAACATAATTGTATCTTTGTGAAAAAAAATTAATTTTAATTAATTTTTTAAATTAATTTATAAATTAATTAAAAAAGATTAATTTAAAAAAAATTAATATGTAAGTTCTTAAATTAATTTTAAATTAATTTTAAAATTAATTTTTTAAAATTAATTCATAGATTAATTTAAAAACTTTAAGGTGCTCAAAATATATATTACAAATACGTTACGTTAATTTTGAATTCTAGTATTTTTTTCTTTTTAAATATTATAAAGAGAATAAAACTTCTATATTGTAATAATATGTCAAATATCAAATAGTATATGAAATAGTTTCAAAAAATATTATTGATATGTATTTTCCTAGATACTAGATAAGATGTATGTGCTAATCATGGAACTAGTACTAAGTTATTAATTGAGTATTTATTGATATATGAAAATATTATATATATATATTTAAGAAGATTCTCTAAAATCATTGTTACTCTTTTTTAGTTACGCAATATCGATGTTCACTGAATATACTAGAAACATCAGTATTGAAGATAATTCATATATTTTATCAATAATTTGTGTTATTCATATAAATGTATATTTGTATTTGCAGTTTGCATATAATTAATATTACAACTTGAGTCCTAATAAAAAAAACGTAGTTGCTAAGACTCGAAAATTACATATAAATATCCATCGATTATTTTGTTAAGCAGTCTTGTGCGCACAATAAAATATTTGATTAATAAGCTTGAAATAAGCGTTCAGTTAACCAGTTTGGATTAGTAAAAGTTAATTTGTTCACATTTACATGCGCACGGAATCTCGCCAGAGCAGAGCACACCATGCGACGCTGAAGTGATAGCACTTTAATAAGCGTATCTCTGCTACGAAAAACGTAAAAACGTACGCGATGTCCGCCGCATACTTAACAGCTCGATTTTCTTTTGTATTTTCAGCACTGTCATACCGCTATGTAATGCGACCATGCCTCTCCCTGAACAACATTCGTCGGGAGTTCGTCTGCAACAATTGCCCACGCGCGTACAGCAGCGTGCGCGCGTTGAAGTTTCATCAAAGGATCGAGTGCAATCAGGAGCCGAGATTCAACTGTGACTTTTGCTCTTACCGAACTCTGCGGCGGAGCAGTCTGCAAAGACATATGCTACGCCACAAACTGGACTAATCGGAATCAATCAACTTTCGTTTTGTTTCTGAACAAGTTTTCTCTCTAATTTCTTTTTGATCGATTTTTTCCACGAAATTTTATCAAGTGTTGTTTGCCCGATATTCATAAAAAAATATGACTATATATCAGTGCAAATAACTGTACTAATTTCTACGGTTTACGAATTTAGCTTCCGCGCAAATTTGATGTATTAAAATTGATTAAAATTTTGATATTTTCTGTGACCTTTTATCTGTGGACAGATTGCAATTAAGAATTTCATAGAATTGTATGGAAGGAGATGGCAACTAAAGAGTAATAAAATATACTTTAAATCATGGTTGTTTTTACAGATTTCTCATTTTGGTTTTATGTGTATCAACGTGTATGAATATATGCGTAAAAATTTGCATATAGATAATTGAGATTTTATTTCTCCATTATGAACGGTATATATTTTTACTCATGACTCTTTCTCTCTCTCTCTATAAATTTTTGTGAAGAACGAGCAGTTTTGTGTGAACCAGAACATAAGAAATAATCCGTTTTGTGTAATTATTCTCGTGTTCGTGCGAAGTGTTTATTAGAAAAATTAAAATTTGCTTACCGGATGAGTGCTGGAAACTATGATTTCGGAAAAAAAAACTCATAACTTACCTGAAACATAAAATATATTCTCATTAGTAATAAGTTTCAAGTCCATCAAAATTATTTTATATCTTAAAAATGAAAGAAATGTTTACGTAGAAATCATTTTCAAAAAGAAAATTTATTTATATCAAGATTAATTGTATCCACATAGAAGTCTGAGTGTGACATTTTCTTTGATTTCTTGTCTTTACTTATTTTATTTATAATCGACGTGTGTGAGAAGCTTGTTACGATAAATATCAATTATATACATAAAGCAGCTCAGAGTCATCGCGGTTGTTATCAATGCAAGTTGTGCGACAGATGCTATAAGAGCAAACACAGGCTGAAATATCAGCAGAATAAAGTATTAAGAAGGAATGTTTTGCTTCGTGCATTTGCAACTATAAGTCTTACAGAAGGTACAATCTACGGAAACACATACTGAGACATATGCAGCCATAAAGCGAATTGATATTACGATCCACTTTCCCAGACTGATATACCTTGTCGCATATACCATCTTGCATACTTGACATTGTAATATTCGACTGAAATAAACACTGTGCGTTGTTTTGGTAACCCGCCTCGTTTTTTCCTTTTATTTATTAATTTATTTTTGTAAGTATATAGCATGGGACCTTTTCGTTTAATAAAAAAATCGTACAAAAGACATAAAAACCAAATGGCATAAAGTCTTTATTAAGAAATTCCATTACATATGCCGCCACAAAGTGGCATCGTAAGTTGTTCATATTTTGTTTCATGTCCCGTTATTTATTTTATGCATCAAAATTTTGTGTCATTTCAGCTATTCACAAATACGACTGACTGAAGGTAGACTAAAAGTAGCGAATTCAGAATATCGCAGATGCTTGCCATCTTGATTAAGACGATCCAGTCGAGGATACATTAAATGATTAAATTAATTACTTTGGAATAATTTCGGCCCGACGTGAGTTTATCGCTCAGAAAATTGTTTGGACAGTAGTTCATCTTCTTCCACTTTTTCAGGTAATTGCCGGTTCTTCACGCCGTACCAGAGATGTGTCAGAGATGTTTCAACAACTTCAAGTCGGCCGGCTCGAAGTATACTCATAAACAGAGGTGCGGCAAGGAAAAGAGATACAAGTGCACTTATTGCGACTATCGGTCGTATCAAAAGTATACTATTTTCCAACGCCTCACTAAACGGCATCCGGAAAAGCAACATCGGAAAAGGGGCGATTTTTATTTAGATTTTTATTTAGACGAACAATGTCGCGGACAAGAGTCAACGACTTAAGAATCCAATCACATCCACAATCCTTACAGTTCGAAGACGTAGAAAATTTTTTCTTAAACGAATAATAGATAAGTCAGTTAGTTATAAGTCAATTTTAGCAGCGAATGTACCTGAAATTAATTTCGATAGACGGTTGGCGCGTTAACTATATATTTCATAATGCAATATATAAAGTAATACATACAATAATTTTTGTAACATTCTATCTATGTTATTTATATGGAAAATGCAAATGTACATCAACAAAAAGATGCATTTCGTCCAAAGAGACTTTTTCTATATTGAAACACATTCGGAAAATAAAATTAAAATTTATAATTAGATTTTATTCATGTAACGATTAAATAAAAATTATCAGGTAGCTGTATTGTGATTAGAAAAATATTACGTCTGAAAATACTGTTAGCAACACTTCTGTTCTGTTCCGTTAGATTCTGTGAGTTCTTGTCATTAAAATAAAATTCACTACGATTCGACTAATTAAATACGAATACTGATAAGTCTCTTGTTCATACATTTGTAATTTTGTGTATGTAACTAATCCTAAATAATAGGATGCATTTTTTACAGTGCGAGCATTGCCATTGCCATGCATGATGTTAATAACAGCAATATTCAATCTCGCAGTAGAGTTGATCTGATGAAATTATTGCACTTATGAAGAAATTTTTTTTATATTCTTTTCCCTCTCCTTCCTTCTCTTAAAACACCGATGCATTTCATCGCGTATACTTTGTGTTATGACGACATTAATAAGAATTATACCTTGCTTAAGATTTACTTTGATACACCTATCTGAAATACGTGAGCGAAGCAACAATTTGAAACAATATTGCACATTATTTTAAAAACATTGACACCTGCGACATTATAATTAATTTAAGATTTGTTTCCGAAATTGATCGTTTAATTAAGTGTTGATTGCCGCCTCTTTAACGAGATCCCCTCCCCCCCCAAATATTTTTAAACATGAAAATTACGATTTTTCCCAAAATTGCAAAAGTTGTTCTCGAAATCGACCCAATATGTTTGGATTAATTTAGTTCCGAATTGAGTTTCCTTCCTCTTAAGTTACGAGCATGTCCCACGGGCGTCTTCTAAGGTTTGTCGAGGATCGTACGTTTGATTGCAACACGGAGCCCCACGTGAGACTGGTGGAACTGGCCTAAAGCTTGTTCTTCTCCAATTTTCAGGTATGATGGATGCAAGTATGGGCATTGAGCTGCCGATGATGAAGATGGATCCATCGCGGGCTTGGATGCACGAGCAGCCGATGATTCCGTTCGCCGAGCTGAAGATACCAAAGGCCTGCGACTACGTCAGCAAAAAGTCATTCGGCCGATTTGTCTGCGAGCGGTGCAGCCGGTCGTACATGAGGAAGGACTCGCTGCAACGCCACATGCAGTGGGAGTGCGGCAAGGAGCCGCAGTTCCAATGCCCGTTTTGCCCGCAACGTTGCAAGCGCAAAGCTCACTGGCAGCGCCACATACGTCGCCAGCACAGTGAGAAAATAGACGGCGTGGAGGGGTATTTACAATCCTACACGCCGAAGGTGGAAATCGACTGAGCTCGATCGACTCGATCGGAATACGGAGAGAATGTCGGCGAAGAGTCAGACTTGGTGGAGAAAACTTTTCAACGATCACTTAATGCATGCGTGATATTTTTGAACAATCTTTTGATAAGCGGATACATTTCCGCGATATTTTCTTAAATAATATAAGTTTGTTATTGAGAGTGTATTGTATTTCTAATTTTTTTTTTTTGTCGCTATTCTGAAGGAACAACTTTTCAGGGAAAAAGAGAGAATGTTATAAGATCAAAACCTAAAGTCGATTCTATTAATAATACACTTTCAAATGTTTTATATTAATAAAATCTTCATCACAGGTAACGCGCGCACGCGCGAGAAAGAGAGGAATAGCAATGAACAGCACGCTTAATAAAAATCGTATTGAGAAATATTCAGTTGATCTAATACTTGCCAACTATATTTACAAGTATACTGTCGAATCAAAAAAATTTACATTTTTTTAAGTACAGAATGTTATTATACCTACTTGATGTCTTGATTCTGTTAAACGTTATTAAAGTATCAAATTGTCGATACTTCAATATCTATGGATATCGAGACTTACGCTATTACACATCGTATTTATAAAATGTTTGAATGTTGAATGAATTCTAAGAATCGAAAAGATATTTTATTAAGTGTGCATATATATTTTATACTCTTTTTTTTTTTTTTTTTTTTACCTACGTAAGCTCGTCGAGAAAGAAACCATTACCATAATACTCATTAGAAATTAAGATTAAGATGAGCTCTATGTACAGCAAATAAGTTTTGCTAAACACACTTCGTTTCTATGAAGTGATTTGACTGATAATCTTATTTATTGCTCGGCAATGCACAATTTGCCAGCATTCGATTAAAAATGTCTGTGTTGTGTTTCTTAGCTTGTAAGGTAATTCAATCGATGTATCAATCAGGGTGATTTTTTTTTTTGTATTTTAAGCCTTTATATAATGATGTGCCTTATCAACGCGTGAATTAATTGTCAAAGTAATAAGTGCCAGTTACATGAATTCCCTTCGCGTCGACATCTGTATTTTTCCTCTCTGTCAGGGAACAAAAAAAGCAAGATGATAAAGATAGGAGGATGAGGATAAAATTCGTGCGAGGGGATTAGTTTTAAAATCGTTAGTTTATAAGCGTTATTAATGCAACGACTATTTTTTTACACGTCTAAGGTACGAAATGTATTCGAGTGAACTCATTAAGACTGATGCCGTTAAGGCGCGATAAATCATGCTGCTATTACCAGTCCGATCGCTCATCGATCATGTAACATCATAATCAAAGTCTATCGCATCTCATTGCACTTGAAGGAAATAAATCTGTACGAATACGAAGAGCATCGCATCGAGCTGTCCCTCATCATACATTTCACTGTCAGCCACTGAAATTTCCACGAACGATTCATTTGCGTGTGATTCGAAGAAAAATTGTTTTCCGAAGTATTCGCGACCGATTAATTATTGTAACTGTCTTGTAAAATCGACAGACGCGTTTCGATTATCCAACTTTACCCTTGCAGCTTTTAATCGTGCGCTATGAAGTAGAATTTAATGATATTTATCTTAAGTTAATTGGCGACGAAAAAACATACGTTTATAGATTACATTAAAAAATAGATACTAATTTCTACAAACCATTTTTATCTGCAAATTTTCGATTATAAACAAAACGATTGAGATACATTTATCGATCGTTTCACTGATATTGGCGGCTAAATTGGGAGCTGCAATTGGCATAAATAAATAATTGAAATAAAAAATTCAAAAAAATAAATAAAAATAAGTCAGTCGCGAGAAAATCCTTAGAAAAAAGAATAAATCCTTAAAAAAAAAAAAAAAAAAAAAAAAGTAATAATAACAATAGCATAGCCGCCACGTTAGAAGCATCTTTCCTTTGTAAATAATTGACCTTATCACAAATTTTTAACTGATTCGCGCATCGTTGCGAGAGCTATTTGAGTATCCTACGCATCTCTTATCTCTTCTCCTGCCTTCTCCACCTGTGCGATATCAGGGGAGCAGCATGCGCACTAACTTTTCTCGAGTCTTGTATATAGAAACGCCACTTACATATCGAACTTTCATCGCTTGCGCATCGACAGGAGGATTCACAGATCGGCTATTATCCCTTGAGACATCAATGCTACGAACGGCGGAATAAGCCTAACGTCGGATCTGTGAATGTTCCTCTCGTCACACGCAGTTACCGCTCCTTCCTCGTATGCGAAACTCATAACTAGCTGCTTGGGGCTCGAAAGTAGGGACACGAAGGACACGCATATTTTTTTTTTTTTCCCCCTCTCGCTATTTCTGATCGGCGCCGATCGTCGCGTCGACACGCACCCGCGATCGAGGACGAGTCGCGAGGTTCGATCGGGTCCGGCGATCCAGCGAGCGGCGACTCCTTCTCGAGGCAAAGCTTTCTTTCCAGGACACGCCGTGAGACGCCCCTCCGCTCTCGACGACAACCTCGATCTCGATCTACTCCACTCCAAACTATTTCTTAAAGATAGACGAATGAGCATCTACCCGAGAGATAGAAAGAGAGAGAGGGAGACCGAGAACGAGAGGGAAGGGGAGACCGGCGTGGAGCGCACGACGTCGAAGACACGCACGTCGAGGTCAGGAGCCATCGACCATTCTTCTAAAAAAAAAATTAACGCCCCCACCCCCCCAACCCCCTTTACGATACTAAGCCTCTAATTCGTAAGCCGATAGAGCGGGGAACGGCGGTCCGACGGCCGGCGGCTTCCCCGCTCGAACGCTTGGAATGAATGACGCTCCGACGCAAAACGCTCGTACACGCGGGACACATGTTAATAAAGCCGGGGATCTTGTGTTCCAGCCGAGGACCTGAGCATCACCGGCCTCAAATGGGCGGAGACCTGGCAGCGGTGGAGCGTGCCGTCGATCATGTGGCGGTCCGGAGTCGGCTTCGGCAAGGGCCTCGGGTCCGGCTCGTCGAATCCCGAGGGCTTCAACTGTCCGGCCTGCGGCAGAGTCTACAAGCTCAAGAGCAGCCTGAGGAACCATCAGAAGTGGGAGTGCGGCAAGGAGCCGCAGTTCCAGTGTCCCCACTGCGTCTACAGGGCGAAGCAGAAGATGCACATCGCGCGGCATATGGAACGGATGCACAAGGAGCAGATCTACAAGCAGGAGCTCGTGTAAAAGGGGGAGAGGAGG